AAGATTGGCTCGGTGGTAGGAGAGAAGGCTGTTTGTGTGACAGTGTTGAGTGGCATACCACAGGGTTCAATGCCGGGACCCTTATATTTGTGATATTTATAAATGATACGTAAGAAAATGTAGTGGTGGCAATGATAAATAAGTCTGCAGATGACAAAGATTGGCTGGGTGGTTGACACTGACGAAGAAAGTCTAACATTATAGGAGGATATAGACAGATTTGTCAGATGGGCAGATGGAACTTAAACCTGATAAATGTGAAGTGATGTACTTTGGAAGAAGAAAGATGACATGAATACTCAATGAATAGCAGGACACTAGGACTTCAGAAGAACAGAGGAATTATAGAGTCACAGAGTCAAATAGCACAGAAGAAGCCCTTCAACCCATCAAGTCTCTATCACCAGAGCAACACTAAATCTATTTGTGTCCCACCTTGCAGTACTAGACCCATAATATTCAATTTTATGACATTTCAAGTGCTCATCCAAGTACTTTTTAAAGGCTTTAAGGTTACCCACCTCAACTATACTCCCAGGCAGTGCATTCCAGACCCCAACCACCACCACTCTAAACCTCCTGCTTCTCACTTTAAAATTATAAACCCTTACTAAAGACCCTGTGATTAAGAGGAACAGCTACACTCTGTTTACACTGTCCATGACCCTTACAATCTTATACATCTCTGTCATGTCCCCCTCAACCTTCTGTGTTCCCAAGAAAACAACCCAAGCTTATCCAGCCTGGCTACATGGCTAAAATGCTCCATCCCAGGCAACGTCTTGGTGAATTTCCTATGCACCCCCTCCAATGCAATCACATCTTTCGTATTGTGCTGAGACCAGAACTGAACACAGTACTCCGCATGGATCCTAACCAAAGTCCTATGCCGTTCCAACATAGCCTCCCTGCATTTATACTCTTGGGGTTCATGACCACAAATCATTGAAGGCAGGTCGCAGGACAAGTTAAAGGGTAGTTATGAAGGCATAGGGAGCACTTGTCTTTTCCAGTCATGGCATAGATTACTGTTTTAGACATTGAGTCTGCACTGAAAAAATATACTCTATGTACCAAAGGACTCTTCTGTAGTGTCCGATTTAATGGAGGCACTTTGTATCATATCAAAGTGGACGCAAACAATGCTATAGTAGGTGTAAGTTTCACAGATGAGGAAATCACACCTGAACTAAGTTCATAATCTAAGCAAAAGTTATAATGTTGACACTCATCTGGAAACTTGATTTTGCTGTGCTGTTTGTTCTCTGGTTTTTTTTTGCAGATGTTGCAGTTGTAGTTGTATCAACCAGAACAGCAAGTGAATCATGTCATTGTCTTTTTTGGAATTGTGCCTACTTTCTTTTTGTTCCAGGTTTCTGTTTGTGTGTGTGTGTGTGTGTAAGGAGAACCAGACAGGACCACTTCTGTACTTGGAATGGCTGTGACACAAGTTGAGACCGAGGCTGTGATTCTGAGATGTCTCAATCTCTGCCCTGTTTGACATATTTCCGAACAGCTCAGGAATTCCAAAAGCTTCTCCATTTCTGGTCTCCTCATTGATCATGTGCAAAGACTGAGAATGCTGCTGCCAGTTCTTAGATTATTCCATTTGTTTCATAGGGTTGTTGTTTTTCTGCGTCAGATCAAAATTTAACACTGCTATTTTCCGAAATAAATGGAGCAGGTGGAATTAGAAAACGAGTTTTCAGTCAAAATTTGAATGGATGCTGGTATGCATGTTCTCCAGATTACTGTGACAGATGGACCAGTGCAAATAGAAGTGTGCTTCTCAAAAGAAGTTTACAAATAGACGGTGTCTTATATCCTGCAATCTGGTCCAGACTGTGCTTGGTTAAACTTTTTTTAAACAACACCGGTGCAATTCAGGTTTTCACCTGAGGTTCAGGTCTGTAGAGTGCAAACTCTGCAATTAATATCGGTGGCCAGAAACATACTCTGGCTCACCAAGCGAGATTAACATTTCGTCATTAGTTATGACCCAGAGCACACGAGAAAATTCTCTGGATTCCCATTGTGCTCTTCTGCTGCCCTCAGAGTGCATTGTCAGTTGAAGCTGCACTGGTGAAAACTAGTTGAAACAAAAGACCAATAAAGGCACTTTGGTGCCAATCACAACATCAGGAGAGCCCAATACATTCTCTTGGTAATCAGTTGTGGTTCTTTTGGTAGGAGAGAAAAATGATGACTAGGAAGTGGGGAGAGTTCCCTTGTTTTTCTTCTGGTGACACTTATGGATTTTTTTCTGTCCATTTGAGCAGGCAAACTAGACTTGGGTTTGACATGGGACCAGAAAGTAGTGCTTTTAACAATGCAACACTTCCTCTGTTCAGTATCAGGCTAGAGTTTGAGCCAAGTTGAACAGAACTCTCAATTGATGGAGGAGCCCAACACAAGATAAGGCTGAAGCATTCGCAGCAATCTTTACCCAGAGGTACAGAGTGGATGATCCATCTTGGCCTCCTCCAGCGGTCCCCAGCGTCACAGATACCAGACTTCAGCCAACTCGATTCACTCCACATGATATCAAGAAATGGTTGGAGGCACTGGATACTGCAAAGGCTATGGGTCCTGACAACCTCCTGGCAATAGTACTGAAGACTTGTGCTCCAGAGCTTGCCGCTCCCCTAGCCAATCTGTTCCAGTGCAGCTACAATGCCGGCATCTTGCCGAGAATATGGAAAAATTGCCCAGATCTGTCAGATACACAAAAAATAGGACAAATCCAACTCAGCCAATTACTGCCTTGTTAGTGAAAATAAATGATTTTAGTGGTAATTGCTTTGCTGTTCAGTGGGAGTACAAATTGGCTGATGCATTTCTGACGTAACTGCGGGGCCGACTTCAAAACAGAATTTCGTGGCTCTAAAACACTTTGAGAAGTTTGAGAAATGTCAAATAAATGCAAGCCTCACCTTCCTTTTCACTGTTTTGTAAAGATCTTTTGCATTGATGTGGCTGTGACAATGCTGTGGCTTTCAAGGGTTTATTTTGTCCTGGGTTTTTTCGAAGAGAAGTTATAAAGCAGAAGTGTTGAGCTGTCTCTAAGAAAGTAAACAACTTGTGATGCTTTTCAGATAATAAATTGTGGGGCTGGAGGAACTCAGCAGGCCAGGCAGCATCAGAGGAACAGGAAAGTTGACGTTTTGGATCAGGACACTTCTTCTCATAGACTATGCTTCCTCGGTTTTTTTTTAGTTTTTAGGTTTAGCTTTAAGCAGAAGCTATTGAAGTCTCAAAAGAATTGGAAGCTTCAGTGAATGCCTCATGGCTGCTACTCTCTCTGAATTTTCTCTTGATGCTTTCCTCCGGAATTGGAGAACTGCAAGTGAGAATCAGTGTCTGAATTTTCCTTTTATTTTGCCAAGGGGTGTGTGTATGGGATGTTACTACATTCGAATGTTTAATTAGGAATGGTTACTGTTGCTATTATTCTGTTAATTTTTCCAGTAGAGTTAATTTTATTCTAAATTCCTATTTCTTTGTTGTATTTTAACCACAGTGTTTAAATAAATTGTGTTTTGCTTAACATCGTGTAGTCTGACCAATCGCATTGCATCTGAGATACTTTACATTTGCCAACAAAATAAGAAAAAGTTAGGGCCTAGGCTACCTTCTTAAAATATTTTTGAGGGGGCTTGGTCTGGTCCATATCACGCTAAGCATTCCAGGAAGCTATTGGCCAGACTGGGGTGTTGCATTCAACAATTAGGAGACAGTCTCTTTCACACAGACTGACAAGTCTCACTTTCTGACATGGCCGTTTAACATTGGAGCCAAACATCTACCAGCACCCAGTAGTTCATGTTGTCTCGTGTAGTTTGATTATTACTGCAGAGCCCACTCACATTCATCTCTATCTGAGAGATCACCTATGCTTTCTTGAAAACACCCACACAGAGAGCAAGGATCCTGTTTCATTCAAGAGTGCAAAAAGTAACACCGAAGTGACTAAGTGTGCACCTGCTTACATGAAGAAGTGACTGTGACATCGTGTTTATCCTTTCCTCCTGTATCAAAGCTTTTGTTGTGTTTACAAGCTGCGAGAAACCCAGGCTCCAAGGACCAACAGAATCGAGGGGCAGTGATGTGATGACAGAAACTGTTGTATAAATGAGGCTCAGCACTGCTGGCTGCATGATATTCGCTTTAAAGCATCATCAGAGAAATTCAGCCATTGCCACTGACATAATTGCCAGTCCACAAACTGGGAATGTTGCTTAAGAACTGCTATGCTCCCAGCAGGGCTGATAAAACAGATGTTGCCTGTGCTTGCAACCGGACAAGGCAAGTTAAAGATGCTTGGGTGACATTATACAGGTTTATAAAATCATGAGGAGCACGGATAGGATGAATAGCCAGTGTCTTCTCCCTAGGGTAATGGAGTCCAAAACTAGAGGGCATAGGTTTAAGGTGAGAGGGGAAAGATTTAAAAGGCACCTAAGGGGTAATATTTTCATGCAGAGGGTGAAGTGTGTTTGGAATGAGCTGCCAGAGGAAGTGATGGAGGGAGGTACAATTAGAATATTTAAAGGGCATCTGGATAGGTACATGAAGAAGAAGGGTTTAAAGGGATATGGGCCAAATACTGTAGAAAAGGACTAGATTAATTTCAGATACCTGGTCAACATGGATGCATTAGACCGAAGGGTACATCCTTGGTGTACATCTCTATGACTCTGCAATTCTGCTTTAGCCCTCAATATCTTGGTTCAGTCAGCAACATGTTGCTTTTGTGTTACTCTCAAATGAAGAATTTGCCAATTTTTTCCAAAATATTTCATGCAACATTTTGAAACTTTAATTACATTTCATAAAGCAAAAGTATAACAGATTACAAATTAATTGCCTGGGGTACCAATAAATGTATCACACGTAAACTATGGTCATTGCATATCTACTTTTGCACGTTTCTAATATCATGGGTTTGTTAAAATGTGGTCCAAGTATTAACACTGACTGCTGATGCTCTTTTACTTCAGAGACATTGTACCGAAGGACTTCAAGATGTTCACCTACAGCAACAATGGGAGCTTGATCATAACTCAGCCAGATGTTCAGGTATTCAACAATTTGGCAACAACTGTCTTTTTTCCTGTTACGGCCCATCAATCTTGAATTACATGGTGCCTCTCCTTGCTGACTTTGTCTCATTTTTCAGAAGGCATTGACTTGTGTCAGAGTGTAGATCAAAACTCTTAGCATCTTGTACGTTTCTTTAGTGGCCTGTCTTTATGGTTAAGATAGTGATTATTCACAGCTTATTCTTCCGATAAAACAGGAAACAGGGGGTATCTGAAGTACGCCTGATCCCCCTTCTCATTGTCCTCTGTATGTAAGGGATGTGATTTAAGTATATTTTAATATTATATATTTTGGATTTTGAAGTCTTGACTGATTCATGTTTAGGTATTCTGTGTGTCTTAAAGATTAATTTGTAGGTATTTTTATAGCCATGGTAATATTTTTTAAAACACTAAAGGTCAGGGAGACTTCCTGGTGAGTACCTGGGTTTTGTTTCCATTGGGGGAGTTTATGAGCAAAGAAACTAAACAGTGTACTGCATTAGATTTTCACACAGCAGATTCTGGGGTTTCTTTTTTGGGCTTGGAGGAAACGTCTATACCTTGGGGGGAAAACAAAAAGTTTGTTTCAGTTTGGTAGTTTGCAGAAGTCTTGGTTGAAGATGGATGTGTTAATCAGTTGTTTATGAGAAAGGAAGGTAATTTTAAGACTGTTCAGAAAGAGATTACCTCAATGTAATGAGTTTAGTTAAAAAGTTCCGCACCATAAGTATTTGGTTAAAATCCTGACGAGGTTTTTGAAGCTAAGAAAATCGGAGCAAAGTTAAATGATGAATCAAGGATGAGTCTATCAGATTATGACAACTGAGAATTGAAACCACAGCCAAATCAAACCCTACCTGGGTTCCAGAGGGAATTCTTTTTGGTGTTTGAGTGCTATGAATGAGATGCTGTTGGGCTTGGTGGGATCGCATCTTAACATATGTTTCTAAATTTTTAAACATATGTTTACATACATAAACATATATGTAAATAGTTTGGTTTATTCCATTTTATTTTCATTTCTTTTGCATAATAAATATCTGATTCATTGATAAAACTGAATCTGCACCATTGGTGTGTTTGTGTATCGGTGAAAGAATGCCTTATTAAAACCAAAGAAAATCCATGATCTGTCAAGCTAGATATAAATCTGTGAACTGACTTGTCCAGTAATAATAACAGCTGGGACCATAACACATCTGTCACTCACACCAACAGTTTAATTGTTTGGACTTTATTTGTCATTTTTTTGTATCATGTGATGTACTTACAGACTGAATCATTGAAACAACATGAAGTGCTGACTGAAATTGAGTTTTTGGATTGGATTTTATTTTTATGCCTCATTTGGAGAAAAATAGCTTAGCTACACTATGGCAGTGAGAGTCAACAGCTGGGATTTCCTGATGGAATGAGTTTGTAGGATGGTGAGGACTAGGTCAGGTTCATGTAGATTTTAGACTGTCCAGTGTGTGTTCTTGTGAAACGTGATTCCTGTCTCGTTGCTAGCGTAACTGATTGACAGATTTATTCCTTTGGTTGGGGACTGTTGCAGCAGAAGCCTTTGATTCAAGATTGTGATTTTGGGGACCAAGTAGTGAATGATAAAATGATGATATTGTCAGTTGTCTAACCGTGGAGAGGCAAATAGTTTAGCTTGGAGGGGAGCTGAGAGGAAACATACCTCCTCCTCTTGGCCTCCAAGGCACCAACGCCCTTCCCACTGCAAATCTTGCCACTCTTCAGCAACTGCATTTGCCAGATCAATAAATCTGATGGACCAAGATTAATTTGAAAGTAGCATGTAGTCTCATGAAATTATTTAATTGAGCAACCTCCCACCCTCACTTCTCCAACTGATCGTTTCTGTTAAAATTGGAAACTGATTGGATCAAAACCATTTTAGCAGATGTTTAAGATTTTGACAATTTACTGATAATTCTCTCACCCTCTGGTTTTGGAGGAGGCATTGTTAAAATTTCCTTCTGCAAATTTTTTCAATCCCCAAAGCCAAGTTAGGATCACCAGAGAATTTTGATCACCACTCCATCATTCTGAAGTACATCAATAAATACTATTTTCCTGGAAAGGGGGGCACATTTATAGGCACAGTATCAAGCCACCAGCTGTGAGCAGTAGCTCACAGGAAGTAGCTCATTGATCTCAGGATAACTGGGTCCTGTATATTTTGCCCAGTCATCTTCTCATGATCCATTCTCAAATTGATGCCACAGCAATGATATACTCCATCACTGACCCTTGTTTGAGATTTCTTGTCCCCTTTCCAGACGAACAAAAACAAAGTTGCTGGAAAAGCTCAGCAGGTCTGGCAGCATCTGTGGAGGAGAAAACAGAGTTAACGTTTTGGGTCCGGTGACCCTTCCTCAGAATATGACAGAAGCTGTGAATGACGTGATAAGAGACCAAATAGTTTTCATTTTTCTTTTTTGGAGCTATAAATTGAATTTTAAGTTATACTGATATAATTGAAAACCCAGATAGATTTTCAACGTGAAAAACAAGTGTTGCGTACCATTGAGTTGTTCAATACACTTTTTTGCTTTATGGAAACAACCAGGAGGGATAAATTGAGACTGAAGTGTACCAACAAGCTTTCAAGTTTAGGACATTCTTCCCAACAGCATTCCTCTGATCGGTTGAGCTGCAAAGTGTTTTTAAGAAAATATTGAAGTGCTCAGAGCAGAAAAAGGTAAAAGCATCCAGAGCCTGCAGTCAGACAGCATCTCGCTCTCACCATGTGAAGGTGAAGTCAGGAAACCCTGGAAAGCTTTAAAAAAAGCAAACTAGGAAAGACCTAGGTTCAGCAAATCAATCACGAAATTAAGGGCAGAGTCTCATCTTACAGAAAATGCAGTTTCACCATTGCAACAATCAAAATCATTGTAACAGAAAAAGGAATTTCCACCTTGTGCTCTGTAATTTTGATTTTCAGAATGCTGTTTGCTCTGTCCACCAATCATTTATGTGTTAAATCATTTGTCTTTTGTCTGTTTTAATCATGATTCAGTGTGCGTAATTTAAGTTGCATAAATCCAAAATCCTTGTTCTTGTTGAACTTAATTGTGTAATTTATTTTCTTTTTCCCTGTTACTGGCGAAACCTGGTGTTATTTTTGTCCTGGGTAGCAATCAGATAGGAAAATTAGTGTTTGGTACTAAAAAATCCCATTTTTATACATTTATACATTTTATGATGATTTCTGTAACATTAGGCCATCATAGTGCACTGACAATGTCAGGTCATGGCAACACATACTGATCCAACTTATTGGCTCTCCGGTATGATAAGAATGTTCGTTTCTAAGTAATGCTGTTGTTTAAAACTGAATTTTGGTTTGAGCTCTTTCTCGACCAGTTCTGGGATGACTGAAAGATGGAAATAATTTTGCTTCATTGTTTCATCTGACAAAAGTGATTTCGTTCTGCTGATGTAGCAAGATGAATTTGTGATTATCTATCAGAAATACAGGGATCCAGCTAAATGTGCATGTTTTCATGGATCTTCAATTTGTATTTATTAATACTACAGAAAGCAGCTGTGTTAAAACAGCAGATTGACAGTGGTGGAATTTGTATGTTTTCATTGCTTTCCTTGCTCTGCTGTCATTGGTTAGGAAGAGTTAAAATCACCCTGTCAAAGTGTTTTGTAATTCATTAATTGGATGTGGGCATCTCTGGCAGGACCAATAATTGCCTTCGCTGACTGCCTAAAAGAAAATGGTGGTCAACTGCGGTCTTGAACTGTTGCTCTGTATGTAGTATGTGTCTTAGAAGGGAATGGGTCAGTGGTGGTGTCCCTATGTGCCTGCCACATTCTGCAAAGTGTTAGCGGTCACGGGTTTAAAGACGCTGTTGAAAGAGCCTTGGCAAGCGTTATGTGAAAAGCAATGCTGCAGATTCTGGGCGATGTGTTTAACCATTTCCTTACTGTTTATTTCTGAAGGATCATTGTCACTTCCAGGGATATGTGGAAGGAATGGAAAATTCCATGGTTGCTCTTAGCACCTGCAATGGGCTCAGGTAAATATTACATCTATTCTTGCATTAATCCACAAAACAGCAGTGACCGCATGTGACACCTCAGGAGGGTGGAAGGTCAATGATGCTGTGGAAGTTGTGTTTCTTAACTTGATAATAATCTACCTCCTACAATGTATTAATTGTCTTCCTTTGTGTCATTGGGAGGGCAGTTGTGGTTAGTGGCAGTGTTCCTATCTCTGGACAGGTTGATCAGAAAATGAAACAAAATTGGATTTAAGGTCTTGGAGTGCACTGCATGATGAATGTTTGTCAGATTTATTACCATTTAAGTTCAGAAAATCTTGTACAAGATATGGTTTTAAACATACCAGAGTTCTTGTATGCAGCACAATTGAAATTGGTTGCAAGATGCATGAAAATATTATGTTTGCTCTAAGCCAATCTTTGCTTCATTTTTGTCACAGCTGACGCACAAATCTCTCAAACATGTATGACAAGGATTAACTTTAAAAGCACTGTGGTGGTTTAGTTTCATTCAAAAGGGTTACCAATTTGTTTCTTTTCGCTGGAAGCAAAATGAGCACAAGCATAAAATCTCACTTCAAACAAGGGCTGACTCCAAGTTTCTGGTTTGCTATCACTATAATTCTCTGTCCAATCTCATTCTGACTTTATTGCTTTATTCACCTGCTCTATTCCAATAAAGCTCTCTGTCAGCTTGGGGAACAGCTCCTCATCTTTGAATTAGGCACAATACAGACTTCCAGACTCAACACCATAGAATAGAATCATAGAATCCATACAGCGTGGAAACAGGCCCTTCGGCCCAACAAGTCCACACTGACCCGCAGTGAAGGGAACCCAGACCCATCCACCTAATCTACACATTCCTGAACACTATGGGCAATTTAGTATGACCAATCCACCTAGCATGCACATTTTTGGACTGTGGGAGGAAACCGGAGCACCCGGAGGAAACCCACACAGACACAGGAGAATGTGCAAGCTCCATGCAGACAGTCACCTGAGGGCGGAATCGAACCCGGGCCCCTGGCCCTGTGAGGCAGCAGTGCTAACCACTGAGCCACCGTGCTGCCCCTATATTCAACATTTTCAGACCATAATGCTCTGCCCTGATTTTTTTTTGTTTTTGAATTATAGCTGTTGATGAAATTTATGTGATTCCTATTTGCAAATTGTCTGCGTCTATCTTTTGTTTACTCATGACATTGCCATTTCCTTTTGCCTTTATCCTCATTGCTTTGGCCACTTAATCTCTCTCCTGCCATTAACTCTATCACAGACTGGCCTTTTCTTTGCACTTGATTTAAACCTGGAGCAACATTTCTTTGCAATTTTGATGATGTGTCAGTAATCAAAATATCATTGTTTTTATCAGATTGTCTGATTTATTGGGCATCTTTTATCATTTTTTAAAAATTTTAAAACCTTCACCGTTTGTAATATTTTGCTTTGGTAAAGTCTCAATTTGCTAGTTACAGCCTACAGCAATTTCTATCCTTTTTTGATATGTGGTTGTATGAGATTAATTCTGAAATGCCCCAAGTTTAGCTTGTGTTTACTGCTAACTACCAAATGGAATTCCTGTTTGTTATTTTTTCCTTATTGTAAACAGTAAGAGCTCTTCAAGTGTAGCTGTAAAAAATGGGATTTGACGTATATACTTATGATGAATATGACGAACATAAGAGTTTGGTACAGGAATTGACCGTTAGCTCCACCCCACCAACATTCTCAGCCATTTAATCAGATCATGGCTGATCTGTTTTTCACCTCAACTCACCTTCCCACTTACTCCTGATGACACTTAACCCCTCTCTTACTTTGTAAGAATCTAACCACTGCTTCTGTAAAAATATTCAAAAACTGTTAACATTTTGACAAGTAGATTTCCAACAACTCATGATGTTCTTTGAGAAACAATTTGTGCTCATTTTTGTCTTAAATCTTTACCTCTTATTTGTAAACGGTGACGCCTATTTCTGGGTTCTCCTATCCACACTGACCCTATCAGGCTGCTTCAAGAGGTTGAAGAGCTTGAGGAGCTCCCTCCCAATTGGGTTACCTTTAACCTTCTAAATTCCATTGATAAAACCTAGCTTGTCCCTGATTGTCTTGAACTTATTGAAATGTCCTCCTATCACAACTTCAATTATCAGTCCTAACATTTTGCCTCTGATACATGTTAAGCTAACTATTCTAAGTTTCCTGCTTCCTCTCTCCCTCTCTTGTTAAATTAGTAAAGGAGTTACATTTGCTTTCTTCCAATCTAATGGACCCTTCCCCAAATCTTGGGAAATATAATTGAAGTCCAATTGTGTAATTTCTGTCCAATTATTGTAATTATACTTATTGCAATGATGTTGAGATGTATAGCACCCTTAAAATCTCCCCAAAAAGTCACCTTTTGTTGCATTGATTATTTCAAATCACTTCAGATTTCACCAGGGCTTTGATAAGTACGTCGTAAACGTAAAATATTAAAATAAGTACAGCTTGTATAAATAGAGAAAATATATTTTTCTGTGAAATTATGTATCCATTTGCAGATTCAAATGAAAAAGACTAAGGAACTCAGTTTGTATTGTTGACTTCTTAACTATTGTACTGTAGCTGAGTTGAGGAAAGAAATTATTTGCTATAAATTATGTTAGGTTGTTAGTCTCCTTCTTACATGCCTTTCTGGTTGCAGAGTCAAAGAAAGCAAAGAAATGCTTCCATTTATATTGCACCTTTCATGCCCTCAGGATAAGACAAAGCACTTTGCTTCTCATGAAGTATGTTTTGAAGTGTGGTTGCTGTTGTAATGTGTGCTTCAGGACCCAGTTTGCACAGTCTTCGTCTGAACAGCAAATTGATAATGATCAAATAACATGTTTTTGCTTTTCATCAGGCATAGACAGTGGCCGTAGAATCCCCTCCTGCCCTTCAAATGGGATTATTTAAGTCCACCCTAGAAAGCAAAGACAATCCCACTTTGAAGTCTCATCAAAAAATGGCACCTCCAACAGTATAACATTCCCTCAGTACTGTAATAGTGTTAACTGGATTCTGACTCACACCTCTATAATGGGACTTGAATCTGTACTCTCGTGAGTCAGTGACAGGAATACAACTAACTGAACCAAGACTAATGCCTAAATGTGCTTGTAAAAGTCTGAAAGCTGCTTGGCTTCTTCTCTGCAGCAACAGGTGAGTCAGAAATATAACAAACGTAGGAGGCATTATTCCTGTCCTGTCCTGCATTCTTCATGCCCTCTCTTGACTAAAATGCTTATGATGCATTCGATTTTTATACAGTTAATGATAATGTATTCTGCAATTTGTAGGAACCTGACTACTTTCAGATTACTTCTATCAATGCAAATTCAAAAAAAAATTGAACAAGCACATCAAATGTTTTGAAAAGTGATTGACGTAAGCAAAATATACTTGTCATCTTTTCTCCACAGAGGATTACTGCAGACAGGTGATACTCATTATGCAATTGAACCACTTGAGTCCTCCAGTACTTTCCAACATGTTGTCTATCGTATGGAGGATCTGCTTGAAGAACATTTAGTCTGTGGAGTGTCAGATTTGGCCAGCACTGTGCAGCCAGTTGATCAGGAGCATGCAGAACAACATTTCCATGATGGTCACAGTATGACAGGCTTCCTGCGCGTAAGTCCAGGCCTTTGGCATTCAATTGTTGCCAATCATTTGCACATCCCTTAATTCCCGAGTCTGTAGCTGAGTGATAACATTTCGACCTCTGGACCAGGAGGCCCATGTTCAAGTCTCAGCAGGCTGTAAGGTGTGTCAGAATATGTCTGAGCAGGTTGATTAAAGTATTTTGTTCAATCGCAAAATGTATGTGAATGCACATATGAGTTTTATATCCATTCATTACGTAGATGGGGGCATTGCTGGCAAGATCAGCATTTCTTGCACTTGGGTAATTGCTGAAGAGAGGGGATGGTGAATTGTCGTCTTAACAATTCAGTAACTTGGTCATTTTCACAAGCTATGAATGTTATCACCCAGTTCTGACTGCCAGAGATGCCTCAGACAAATTGGAACGAGAGAGCCAGGTGACAGTTGCATGTTAACTTAGGGATAATTGGGCATGAACTGGATGGATATATGTGTACATATTTTGCATTCATTCTTTCTATTTTTATGTGTATATTTATAGGCACAAGTTTTGTTACTGAGTTGAGGAAAGCAACTGTTTCTGGTATATTATGTCAGGTTACTAGTTGCCAAGTAGCTGATCTCTTGGTTATTGGAGTTTTGTGATGTGTGTCTAAATAAACCACTGACAAGAAAATATATGTGCTTGGACATTGTCTAACCAACCTTTACCTTGTGGTCTTTATCGGTTAGAAGTCAATCAGATTTCTTTGTACCACGATCCAAAAGAATTTCAGAAACAAAAACAGAAATTGCTGGAATACTTCAGCAGGTCTGGCAGCATCTGTGGAGAGAAATCTGTGTTTTGGGTTGAATGACTCTTCCTCAGAACCCAGCATCCACAGTTCTTTTGGTTTTCACAAGAAAGCCAGACTGGGTAACGATGGCAGATATCCTTTGCCATTCATTAACCAGATGAATGTTTATGACAAATTTTTTTTCATTTTTTTCATGGGATGTGGGCATTGATGGCTAGGCCAGCATTTATTGTCCATTCTTAACTGCCCTTGAACTGAGTGGTTGTTGAGCCAGAGGGTCATCAGAGTCAACCATGGTTTGGAGTCACTGCATTTTTCATTATGCACTGTGATGAAGTTGAGATTGAGCAGTAAAAGAAAACCATACTGGAGTCATTGTCATGATTTTGGTGCTATATCTTGCTTGGATCCTAGTTTGCGCCTGCAGTTGGCCACTCAGTGCATTCCCAATATGGAAAAACATGGTCACTTGTGAAAATATGAGCAACTGTGCAGCCAAAAAGAGTTGGAGGGCACATAAACAAACAATTCCACAAGTTTGAATTACAGGTGGGATAGTGAGTGAGGTGGGGAGGGATGTAGGATCACTCAGTGGCTGGTTTATCCCCCGCACCCTTGCAGTAATTGCATCTATGATGATGATGAGGTATACCGTCCTGCCTTTCCAATTTCTCTTCTCCATTCTCTATCAAGTCTCCTTCTGATTTAACTTCAAAAGCTCTCAGGTAATTTGAGGGAAAGTGGAAACTGGCTGGAATGAAGGATGATAAATAATAGAGATGAGAGGCTCCTGACGTTATTTATAATTGTTTCACTTTACTGGGTGCTGTTCTTCATAACTGCATAAAATGAGGTATGGAATGGTTTCATGTTTGCAACACCCAAATCACTTGAAAATGCTTGAATCCGGTCATGATCTGTATATTTATGCATAAAATGGCCATCTTAATGAACCTTGATGAGTAATTCAAATTTTATGTTCAATGCCAAACGTCACTGAACTTCAAGTGTTAAATTATAAGATACCCGACAAAACAAAACTGGGCTTTATTCCCCAGATTTAACAAGTTGAGGTGCAATTTGATTGAGAATGTTAAGGGGATTAAGGGCATAACCTAAAATGTAGAAACAGACCTTTCAGGGAAACAGTTATCATATATCTAAAATATGTTCTGCGTTTTGAAGTCAAGCCATATTTGTGATGTGTTTGGAGATGCTCACATGGTACCATGCATAGAGTTAGCATTACAACTCCCAGCACAGTTCTCATATGAATCCTAAGTTTTGCACAAAATTCTGCTGCAAGTTTTACGATAAGTAATAACTTAGTGTAATAAAAGCACACTGAAAACCTCAGTGAGAGTTGAATAGTTCGTACAGGAACACAATTAAATAAGAAAATCTACTTCGCCTTATTTTAAATGTACTTAAGTACAGCAAATTTCACTGCTTTCCCGAGTTGGCCCCAGTTCTGCAGCTTATGTTACTGTATCCAGCTCTTCAACCTCAGATTTGTAACAATCTGCTCAATTAATATGTTTTTTAAAGACAAACTTCAGCATTAAACATCCTACGTATGAATTGAACAGGTTGCGACAAATCTCAGAGGTTGAAGAGGTTTTCAGTGTGTTTTTATTACGCTAATAGTTATTACTTGTAGTAAAACTTTCAACAAAATTTTGGGTGAATGCTCTTCGGAGGGTCGATGTGGACTCCGTGGGCCAGATGCCCTTTAGGGAAGGAAACTACCATCCTTACCTGGTCTGGTCTACATGTGACTCCAGACCTGCAGCAATTTGAGCAGTTAGGGATGGGCAATAAATGCTGCCTAGCCAGCGATGCCCGCATCCCATGAATGAATAAAGCAAAAAAAAGGCCTGCTTCCTCACAGTAGGAATCCTAAGATTCTACATCCAGAAATGGTGATGCTGGTGCCTGGGACATTGTCAGTTGAGGGAAGGGCAAGATTGGCAACTAAATATCCCAGGATATAGATGCTTCAGGCGGGATAGAGAGGGAGGTAAAAGGGGTGGAGGAGTTGCATTACTGGTCAAAGAGGATATTACAGCTGTGCTGAAGGAGGGCACTGTGGAGGATTCGAGCAGTGAGGCAATACGGGCAGAGCTCAGAAATAGGAAGGGTGCGGTAACAATGTTGGGACTGTACTACAGGCCTCCCAACAGCGAGCGTGAGGTAGAAGTACAAATATGTAGACAGATTATGGAAAGATGTAGGAGCAACAGGGTGGTGGTGATGGGAGATTTTAATTTTCCCAACATTGACTGGGATTCACTTATGTTAGGGTTTAGATGGAGCAGAATTTGTAAGGAGCATCCAGGAGGGTTTTCTGGAGCAGTATGTAAATAGTCCAACTCGGGAAAGGGCCATACTGGACCTGGTGTTGGGGAATGAGCCTGGCCAGGTGGTTGAAGTTTCAGTAGGGGATTACTTTGGGAATAGTGATCACAATTCCGTAAGTTTTAGAATACTGATGGACAAAGATGAGAGTGGTCCGAAAGGAAGAGTGCTGAATTGGGGGACGGCCAACTATAGCAAAATTTGGCAGGCGCTGGGGAATGTGGATTGGGAGCAGCTGTTTGAGTGTGTTTGATATGTGGGAGGCTTTTAAAGAGAGGTTGGTTAGAGTGCAGGACAGACGTGTCCCTGTGAAAATGAGGGATAGAAAGGGCAAGATTAGGGAACCATGGATGACAGGTGAAATTGTGAGATGAGCAAAGAGGAAAAAGGAAGCATACATAAGGTCTAGGTGACTGAAAACAAACAAAGCTTTGGAAGAATATCGGGAAAGTAGGACCAATCTGAAACGAGGAATTAAGAGGGCTAAAAGGGGTCGTGAAATATCTTTAGCAAACAGGGTTAAGGAACATCCCAAAGCCTTTTATGCATACATAAGGAGCAAGAGGGTAACTAGAGAAAGGGTTGGTCCACTCAAGGACAAAGGAGGGAAGTTTATGCGAGGAGTCAGAGAAAATGAGTGAGATTCTTAATGAGTACTTTGTGTTGGTATTCACTGAGGAGAGGGACATGTTGAGGTTAGGAATAGATGTTTGATTACTCCAGGTCAAGTCGGCATAAGGAGGGGGGGAAGTGTTGGGTATTCTAAAAGGCATTAGGGTGAACAAGTCTCCAGGTCCGGATGGGGTCTATCCCAGGTTACTGAGGGAAGCGAGAGAGGAAATAGCTGGGGCCTTAACAGATATCTTTGCAGCATCCTTGAGCATGGGTGAGGTGCTGGAGGACTGGAGAATTGCTAATGTTGTCCCCTTGTTTAAGAAGGGTAGCAAGGATAATCCAGGTAATTATAGACTGGTGAGCCTGACATCAGTGGTGGGGAAGCTTCTGGAGAAGATACTGAGGGATAGGATCTATTTACATTTTGAAAAAAATGGCCTTATTAGTGATAGGCAGCATGGTTTTGTGCAGGGAAGGTCATGTCTTACCAACTTGATAGAATTCTTTGAGGAAGTGACAAAGTTGATCGATGAGGGAAGGGCTGTGGATGTCATATACATGGACTTCAGTAAGGCATTTGATAAGGTTCCCCGTGGTAGGCTGATGGAGAAAGTGAAGTCACATGGGGTCCAAGGTGTACTAGCTAGATGGATAGAGAACTGGCTGGGCAACAGGAGACAGAGGGTTGTAGTGGAAGGGAGTTTCTCAAAATGGAGAACTGTGACCAGTGGTGTTCCACAGGGATCTGTGTTGGGACCACTGTTGTTTGTGATATACATAAATGATCTGGAGGAAGGTATAGATTGTCTGATTAGCAAGTTTGCAGACAACACTAAGATTGGTGGAGTAGCAGATAGTAAAGGGGACTGTCGGAGAATGCAGCAGAATTTAGATAGATTGGAGAGTTGGGCGGAGAAATGGCAGATGGAGTTCAATCCAGGCAAATGCGAGGTGATTCATTTTGGACGATCCAATTCAAGAGCGAACTGTACGGTAAATGGAAAAGCCCTGGGGAAAATTGATACACAGAGAGATCTGGGTGTTGAGGTCCATTGTACCTTGAAGGTGGCAACGCAGGTCGATAGAGTGGTCAAGAAGGCATACAGCATGCTTTCACTCATCGGACGGGATATTGAGTACAAGAGTTGGTAGGTCATGTTACAGTTGTATAGGACTTTTGTTCGACCACATTTGGAATACTGCGTACAGTTCTGGTCGCCACATTACCAAAAGGATGTGGATGCTTTGGAGAGGGTGCAGAGGAGGTTCACCAGGATGTTGCCTGGTATGGAGGGCGCTAGCTATGAAGAGAGGTTGAGTAGATTAGGATTATTTACAGTAGAAAGACGGAGGTTGAGGGGGAACCTGATTGAGGTCTACAAAATCATGAGAGGTATAGACAGGGTGGATAGCAAGAAGCTTTTTCCCAGAGTGGGGGACTCAATTACTAGGGGTCACAATTTCAAGGTGAGAGGGGAAAAGTTTAAGGGAGATATGCGTGGAAAGTTCGTTACGCAGAGGGTGGTGAGTGCCTGCAATGCGTTGCCAGCGGAGGTGGTAGAGGCGGGCACGATAGCGTCATTTAAGATGTATCTAGACAGATACATGAATGGGCAGGGAGCAGAGGGATACAGATCCTAGGGAAATAGGCGACAGGTTTAGAAAGAGGATCTGGATCGATGCAGGCTTGGAGGGCCGAAGGGCCTGTTCCTGTGCTGTAATTTTCTTTGTTCTCTGTTCTTTGTTCTTTGATGCCTTGAGTGTTACTGTTGGGTTGTTGCTTGACTAGTCCATGAGACAGCTGTCACAATTTTGGCATGAGCCCCCAGATATTAGTAATGAGGACCTTGCAAAGTTGACAGGGCCATTTCTGTTGTCTCTTTTGGTGCCTGGGCTGATGCCAGGTGGTCCATTCAGTTTCATTTCTTTGTTGAGACTTCGGAGCAATTGATACAGCCGAGTGGCTCGCTAGGCCATTTCAGAAGGAAGTTGAGAGTCAGCCACATTGTTGTAGGTCTGGACTCACATGTAGACCAGACCAGATGAAGATAGCAGATCCTGAAGGACATTGCTGAGCCAGATGGGTTTTTCTGACAATCAACAATGGTTTCCTGATCGTCAATAGATTCCTAATTACAGATATTTTTATTGAAATTCAGTGCCATCATCGATTCAGACACGGGTCCCCAGAATGTTAGCCAAATTCCTGGATTAATTGTCTTGCAATATTACCCCTAAGCCATTGCCTCCCTTTTGTGCTGAAGTCTCCAAATGATTTCAGAGATAGCAGGAACTGCAGATGTTGGAGAATCTGAGATAACAAGGTGTAGAGCTGGATGAACACAGCAGGCCAAGCAGCATCAGAGGAGCAGGAAAGCTGACGTTTCGGGCCTGGACCCTTCTTCAGAAATGGGGGAGGGGAAGGGGGTTCTGAAATAAATAGGGAGAGAGGGGGCGGCGAATAGAAGATGGATAGAGGAGAGGATAGGTGGAGAGGAGGCAGACAGGTCAAAGAGGCGGGGATGGAGCCAGTAAAGATGAGTGTAGGTGGGGAGGTAGGGAGGAGTCAGGTCGGTCCAGGGAGGACGGGCAGATCAAGGGGGCGGGATGAGGTTAGTAGGTAGGAGATGGGGGTGAGGCTTGAGGTGGGAGGAGGGGATAGGTGGGAGGAAGGACAGGTTAGGGAGGCAGGGACGAGCTGGGCTGGTTTTGGGATGCGGTGGGGGGAGGGGAGATTTTGAAGCTTGTGAAGTCCACATTGATACCATTAGGCTGCAGGGTTCCCAAGCGGAATATGAGTTGCTGTTCCTGCAACCTTCGGGTAGCATCGTTGTGGCACTGCAGGAGGCCCAGGATGGACATGTCATCTGAGGAATGGGAGGAGGAGTTGAAATGGTTTGTGACTGGGAGATGCAGTTGTTTAGCGCGAACCAAACGTAGGTGTTCCGCATACCTATCCCCTCCTCCCACCTCAAGCCCCACCCCCATCTCCTACCTACTAACCTCATCCCGCCTCCTTGACCTGTCCGTCCTCCCTGGACTGACCTATCTCCTCCCTAACTCCCCACCTACACTCACCTCTACTGGCTCCATTCCCGCCTCTTTGACCTGTCTGTTTCCTCTCCACCTATCTTCTCCTCTATCCATCTTCTATCAGCCTCCCCCTCTCTCCCTATTTATTTCAGAACGCCCTTCCCCTCCCCCATTTCTGATGAAGGGTCTAGGACCGAAACGTCAGCTTTCTTGCTCCTCTGATGCTGCTTGGCCTGTTGTGTTCATCCAGCTCTGCACCTTGTTATCTCCAAATGATTTGCTGACTCCACGCTCAGTTTGAAACCTTAGCCACAGGTGATACCAGTGGTGGGATGGGCAGCACTTTGAATAAGCATAAATTGAAACTTTTTCCACCTGTTTGTGTAAATGGCTAAAAAACACAAGGTTTGTAGACTTAAGACTTTCCAAACCAGCACTCCTTCCCCACATAGCACAAAAATTCAAAGAATCAAGCTCATAACGTCTCTCATCATATTCCATCCACATTGCAGGAAAAGGTCCAGCCATTCATGCTCAAAAAACCAAAATATTTCAAATACATAGTTGGCACTGTAGGAGGTTTTGTTTTTGTCATAAATTTAATTGTACCTTTCAGCATGTTTCGAGTGGTCTGTATATCCAACTAAAAGGTTTGTGGGATCGCTTGAAAGCTGCACTGTTGAACCTGACCTGTATAGTCTGGAGATTAGAGCAGTTGCTGGAGCTCAGTTGCCATATTATGAACTGGGACACTCCAGATTCACGTGTATAATTCACACAGAATAGGATTCTGACCACAGCCAAACCAAGAGCTACCATTGCAAAGGTGGAAAAACTGGAGATCAACCTCCAATCTGCTGTTCCCAAATCATGCCATCTGCACTGCTCAAAAAGTGAAGGCAGAGATCAATGAGCTAACATATTTTACCAGGTACAATATGGTGGCAAAACTTTCAGGAGTTGTTGCAGAACAAATGTGATGTCTTCAAAATTACTGTTTGTCTTATGCAAATGTGTTAACGATTTTCTGATGTCACTTCTGTTATCATAGGAATGAGCAGATTCATTCTAAAATAAAGCAGGTGGGTATCTAGAGTTGATATTTAAAACTAATAAAATGACAGACACTAAAATGATCTACTCAGTGATCTTAAAGCTGAAGTGATTGAAGTACAACGGCACGGGTAATGATTGCAACCAATGGTCTGAATCTAGACTGTTTATTCTTATGTAGACTGTGTATTTACACCCGGGGAAAAAAACAGATCTTCAATAGTCACAGAAAATTTACGATTTTTTACTTTGTATTGTTCACAGAATAAACGGGCTATATTGCCCCAGACTCGATATGTTGAGCTGTTTTTGGTTGTCGATAAGGACCTGGTAAGTATGAAAGCTGCTTTCTGTAACCAAAGTGAAATGAGGAATTTAAAAACTTGAAGAAGTGTAGCTGCTCCTTTTAAATTTTGTTACTTTTTTTTAATGTGTTCCAGTATGATATGACCAAGAATGAGACTGCTGTGAGAGAACAGATGGTTCAGCTTGCAAATTACCTTGATGGAGTAAGTGCATTTCCACAATTTTATTTCACGTTATGGGGAAAATTACTGTTGCCTTTTCTTGATTTCAGGCTTATAAGCTCGTGTATCTTTGTCCCCTGAACAGCTGTTTAGAGACTTCTTGCAGTCTGGCTATTTGCATAGACCAAGCAGCATCACTGGGGAGTGAAGAGTAAGAAATTGGCTTTTCACAGTTTCTGTGTATGCAGGTCTTAAATTGGAACAGGTCAATTCTATAAGGACTGAAGAAATTTGACTAAAAACTGAATAATCTTCCATTATTAATAGACCAGAATCTTTACAAAGCCCACTTGCCTTTGCTTGGTTTGGTAGACTTTGAAAGCTTGGGTTGATTTTAGTCTGAATTAGCATCGTACTTGTATTCAATTTTTGACTTGAAATGAGGTGGACATGCTTTGAGTTAATACACTAATTGTGAATTGTTAAGGAACCTTTAGTATTACACATGCCTTCTCACTGTGAATTCTACTGTGCGAAGGTTAAGAACAGAGGCAGAAGGTTGGTGCAAACCAAGGGCAAACAAAGAGAAGGTGGAGTGTTGGAATGGTCATTAATTTTCTAACTGAGTTGCGTCGGCCCAGAATAAAGTGCCTGTTCTTCTCCGAGGAGCAGGGTATGAAGCTTTCAAATCTTGAAAAGATGATTGCAAAAGAATTTGCAGCCAACTGCTTCAGCTGACTGATTGTGTACTGCAGACTGTATCACAGGAACATAGAAGCAGCATTAGGTTATTCAGCCTCTGAAGCCTGCTGTGCTGTTCGAGATCATGGCTGATCGTCTGTCTCAATTCTGTTTTACTGAGCTATCTCCCATGTCCCTTGATATCATTTCTATCTAGAAACTTATCTATTTTTACGTTGAACACCGTAAATTACTGAGCTTTCACAGCACTCCAACTTAGAGAATTAGATATTTACTCCCTCTAAGTGAAAGAAATTTTCTTCATGTCAATGCTGAATGGCTTTCTCCATATTGTGCAAGGAGGGTCAAACAGATGACTAGAAACAGAGCTTTTAGAAATGGAGCATTTTAGTTGAATAGTTCATGGCACCCACACTTGAAGTTTCATCTGACATCTCTCCTCTTCCTACCCTTCTTAAACAAACAATATTTGTTCAGCAAACCAATGTTTTATTCAGGACCACAAACAGAAGTTGCTGAAAAAGCTCAGGAAGTCTGGCAACATCTGTGAAGAAAAATCAGCATGACCCTGCCTCAGAAAATGTTTTATTCACCTTCATTCACAACATCACCAGCAGCAAAAGAATACTTTGCACAGAAAATTTCACAATGTATGATTGTTTCACAGACACAGAAATACTTGTACGTAATTTTCTCTTCTGGGTAATCTCTTAATCCTGTGGGCTATCAACAGCTCTTGTGCTTCGCAAAAGGTAGAAAGGATTGAGTGTGTACTGTTGTTCATTTATTATGTAATGAAATGCTTGTAGTCAGTGAGTTCTTGCATCTTGAATCTAGCTCTGCTCTGCAGCAACTCTCAGCCCTTCAGGATTCTCTGACCAAGCTGAGCTTTTGGTACAAGGTTGACAACTAGACCCAAGGATTCACTGGTTGTCATAATGGGAGCTAACATCAACCTGTATCCATACTGCATGGCAGCACTTGCTTTCTGACTTGATGAATAATTTCTACTGAATGGCTGGAGGGCAGACCCTCTATTCAGCCTTTTGTTCCTGTTGAGACATTTCTGTCCTGTCCAAGGCACAGAAGGTGGTTGAGCAGCGTGCTTGTATAGTCTCAGAATTAGCATTTCAGGACTAATCAAGTAGTGATGCTTCAGAATTCTGATAGTGAATATAGTTTTTGTAGCAACCAGTAGGGTGACTGTGTCTGATGCCTTCTCCATCCATACCTCGCAACTTGTTCTCTACAGTTCCAGCTGACAATTGATGAGGAAGAGAACTTCCTTTACAACAGGAATTTGCTTTCACGTAACTGTACCCCATCATCTCTGGGAGGGAGGAAGATCTCTGCTAAAAGTCATGTTTCCTGCTGCACCAACTCTCGTCTCTCTATGTCTCTGTGAAACACTTTATTACTTCGTTCAGGCTGTTGCTCTAATAAGATGGCTAAACTGCCAGATTTTACACTTTGTGGTTGACAAGCTGCTGATGGACCTTAAAGAGGCTTCCTGTACAATTGCTTTTGTTAACTGATGATTCTTCCAAAAAAGGAATGTTTCTCCTCCACCAGTAGACACATACAAAGTCAGCAATGTGAAATTCAGAATTCTCGGTATGTGGATACGTTTATTACACTTGTAGGATTTTTCTGAGAAAAACGTCTACTTGTCTAATGCAATGGTTTAACCTTAGCATCGTGCAATTCTGCAACATAACACAGAATTACAGACTGTGCAGAAAGAGACCATTCAGGTCATCATCTGCACTAGCTCTCTGAGTCTCTTTAAGTTCATGCCAATTTCTTGGCTTTACTCTGAAACTCCGCCTATTGTTTAATTAGAAGCAATCATCCAATGGCCTTTTGAAGGGCTCAATGGAAACTGCCTCTACTACACTTCCAAGAAGTGCATGCTGCATCCTAACTACTCGCAGTGTTGAAATAAATTGCCTCACCTTGCATGTGGTTCTTTGGCAAATCGCTTCAAGTATGTGCTGTCTGGCACTTAATCCATTTATAAGAGGGAACAGTTTCTCCCCTATATCTCCCTGTTTCTCCCCTGTGTAGAACCCCTCATGAAATTGTAACTTTCTTTCGAGTCTCCTCTTAGCCTTCTGCTCTGAGAAAAATAATCCCTAAAAAAATGCTGCAAGAAATGAAGGTGCACCAAATTTGGAGCACATCTAAATATTCATTAATTGAACATTCTTGATGTTGATTCATTTTCTGCATTTGTTCGTGGGATGTGGACATTTTTGGCATTTATAGTTCTGCAGTTGATGTCACTGGTGGAACCATTGAAACCCATTTCAGTACATAGATGGAGAAATAGAGGACTTAGGCGAAAGAGTAGACCACGTGGAGCCTCAACCCTGCTTTACCATTCAGTAAGATCACGGCTGATCTAATTGTGAACTCAACTCCACTTCCCTGTCTGCCTCCCATAACTTTTGACTTTCTTACCCTTGTGGTCTACGCTTCCCCACAGTGCTTTGAGGAAGTTTCAGGATTTTGAGTACGTGAAGATGAAGGTTATTGCCTATGCTGATGCCTGGTGGTATGTTTCTCAGGTTGTTGATATGATAGTGATTGTAATTTCTTGACAATTAAAATTCAGCAAGACTTCATCAGATGGACCACTTGTTGAAGCAAATTTGTGTTCTTTGTGGCTTGATACATCGAAAATGTTAATTGTTCAGTTTTTTTTCCAAAGGGTCACAGAATCATAGAATCTCTGTAATGTGGAAGGCAGCTATTTGGCCCATTGAGTCAATACCGACCCCCCAAAGAGCATCCTACTCAGACCCAACCTCTTATCCTGTCCCTGTAACTGTATTTACCATGGCTAATCCACCTATACAACAATTTAGCATGGCCAATCCACCTAACCTGCATATCTTTGGACTGTGAGAGGAAACCGGAGCACTCAGAGGAAAGCTGCACAAGCACATGGAGAATGCGCAAACTCCAAACAGACAGTCACCTGAGGGTGGGATCGAACCTGGGTCCCAGGCACTGTGAGGCAGCAGTGCTAACCATTAAGCCATAATGGTGTATTGTAGCATTTTGGGGCTTGGGACTGGAAGGAGCTTTATGACTCCATTCCGTTCACATTGGGAAAACTCCCATGAGAATCCAAGGAAAAAAAAAAAAAAAAAAATATATATATATATATATATATATAAAATTGTGGAAAATACGGAATTGTTTCTTTCTCATTGAGTACATTGCCAATGCCTTGACTAAATTGACCTTTTTGGCCAGTTGACAAGAAATAAATTGGAACCATAATCATGAGTGAACTGCACTTCTCCTTCCTCAGATGTACAGTTCCATGAACATCCGCATTGTTCTGGTGGGTTTGGAAATATGGTCAAGGAGGAATCAAATCAGCATCGAAGGAGGAGCAGGTGAAGTGTTGGGGCGTTTTGTACAATGGCGAGAGAAGGACTTGTTGCCTCGTCGCAGGCATGACAGCGCACATTTAATTCTGTGAGTTTTTGGTTTCTTAATGGAGAATACTTGAAATATGATGTATTGTCTGTTGAAAGCTTACTCTTCTGAAGGAGGCACCCTTTTATATTTTTCAAAGATGTGGAGAAATCTCATTAGATATTCTGTCTTCTTCAGTAATTTATTTCCTGTCATCTTAATGTGACAAAATCCTGATTGTTAATTAGCTAAGGTCCTGGGAGAGAAAAAGTTGTTGTTGTGGGAGAGGAAGTGATTCAAGATGTGCAGGAGGAAGGAGTAATTTTAAAACAAATATTGTTTCTTAATTCATCAACAGGAGATGCAGTTTGTCCATTTAGTGAAGTTCAGAGGTGTTTTGTTCTCCTTCTTAAAATACAGGTTGATTTTCCACCTTTCCTGTCCGTTTATTTTAGAAAGCAGCCACATACTTCTGCAGTTACTTGGAAATAAAAACAGAAGAGGGTCATTTGGCACATTGATCCTGCTTCATGATTCAATAAGATCATTCTTCATCTGCTACTTTCCTACCGTTTGCATACTTTTGATTCCCTTAATATCTAAAAATCTGTCTTTCTCTACTTTGCAAAGACTTGATAGCTGACTATTCACAGGTCTCTGCAGTAGACAGTTTTCCAAGAGTCACACAACCGCTTGAATAGACTCATTTCTCCTCATCTCAATTCTAAATAGCCATTCCTTTGGTTGGTAGTTGCACCCTAAATATTATTTCTTGCAACGATTCAAAGAATGCATACAGGCAGATTTTTATTGTGTGTGTCCCTTGCCTTTAGGAGAGTTGGATCTTTGAGGACACTTTGCACTGTGTATGTACAATGTTGCAGTGCTGCCTGGCGGTTTGTCAGCTTTTGCATCTGCAAGCTGCATACACAAATGAGTTGGTTTGTTGCAAATTCTGCTTCATAACTAGGAACTGTGTTAAATGAATCAACCCATAGAGTTAATCAGTGTCTTCTGAGCGATCATTAGACAATTATAATTACATGACAATTTTTACTGATAAAGCATGTACCTGTTAGCTTGTTTTTGTTGATCATATAACTTTTACATCTTTCAGGAAAAGGGGATTTGGTGAGACTGCGGGAATGGCCTTTGTGAGCACTATTTGTTCAAGGAGCCACAGTGGAGGAATTAATGTGGTATGGAATCATTCTTTTTTTCAAAAGAAAGGAGAAATTAACTGTGAAGCAAAATGTTGTGGATAGGAGAGGGAATTAATCCTCCTCAGAAACTGTGTTCTGGCAAAACTGTCTTCTACTCTTTTCTCAGTTTTGGACTATATTTTCTCTGCTTTATTTGTTCCTTGGCTGCAGCTGAGTTTGGGAATTCTGTGAAGTGAATGGTGGCTGTAGACAAAGAAATGCTGTACTGTGAATGCATGGCAAACCACCAGCTCTTAGAAAAGCCAAGTTCTTGCCCATGGGTATTGTGTTTATTTTTTTGTGGAATTCTGTGATAATACCCCATCCAAAAAAGCAAGTTTCTGGTTTACACAGTTAAACAAAATCATATGTGTTAATTTTATCCACGTATAATGCATGATGTATCGAAATACGTCTTGTTCCAGGAAATGAAGGGGCAGCTATCCAACAGTTCAGTACTCATTGTTAAACTCCAAAAGATAACTGTATTTAAACAGAATTCAAGTCCACACTTCTATGTGAAAGCTCGATTTCAGTTAGCCATACTCTCTAAAATTCTCAGCTCATGGATTATGAACTGCCCTTATTTATGCGACAGATTCTCACACTCTTTAACCTTCATTATTATATTCATGATCTGTTCTCTAATTCAGTTAGATCTTGTGCATTGTTTCAGACCATATTAGATGATAACAATCACTTTCTACAATGCTTTCAGCCTTTAAATTAATTGTAATGATGTTTTCAAATAATTGACTAACTTTGTACTGTGGAAAGTGTCTGCTATGTTTAAGCTGAGTAAAAAGAACCTCATGCACCAATGTTCCAAATTACTCCACTGCTCTTTCAGGGAATCTGCTTTGTTTATATTACAATTCCAATTTCTCTTTTCTCTCCTGTTCTGGCTCCCTTGTGGGCAAATGTGTTATCTGATTTAGTCAAAAGGATGCAATGACTAAAATTAGAAGTTCAGAGTTTCTATATCCACTGTGACTCTTTACTTGAGGACGGACTCATGGATGAAATTGCAGGCCCTTTTCTAGTTGGGTAATTACTCATTTTTGTCACTCAATTGCTGACTCTTTGGATGGGCAGAGGCTACATTTCTTCTTGAGCTGTGATTACAAGGAGCCTGCCAAACCACAGTAATGTTTACCATATTGAAAACGTTAAAATATTTCCAAGGTCTTAACAGTTTCTGCATTTCTGTCAACAAAAAAGTAATATTTTTAATTTTATTTACTGTGTGAGTAAGCAGGCCAATTGATTTCCTGGTTTGCTGACCCTGGGAAAGTGGCTTGGCTAAAACCTCTTCAGTCAGCAAAGGAATGTTGAGTAGGGATCTCCAAGCATTTAGCAGTGCATTGGCAATGTTTTCATGTAATGATGCTGAGGGCCTTGGAGGTTTTGATGTTTCCAGAGCATTGCTGCAAATGCATTTCTCAGTTATATGGAGTATGGGCGAGAAGGTAGTACAGAACTAAGAATGACTAGTTGGTGCAGTCTGTAGACTGTGTCAGTGGGGGAGCACATTGGTCTGGTGGCAGAAATGCCAATCAAGTGGTCTAATCTGTTATGGAAGTTGTAGGTTGTGAGGAACTGTGAGAAACCTCCTAAGGATATTTAATATGTTGGTATGGTGAAGCTATGTAGTTTGTTCTGTATATTAGATATGGTGGGGACATCCATGGTTCTGAATTTTGGATCTTTGTATGCACGTTTTTCAATCTGGTTTATTTTCTAGTTTTCACAGAACATTCTTTATTTTGCATCCATTGTTGCTCACGAGCTGGGCCATAACTTGGGAATGAACCATGATAATGACCGGAAATGTAAGTGTGAAGCAGAAGTATGCATCATGAATGCTGGAGCCACGTAAGTAATGGTTCAGAAGTACCTCTATGTAGTAACACCGTGTCTTCTATGTGTTGGTGATATCAGTGCATTACTTGCCTAATACCATACAGAAAATTGTGCATGATATGCTCTAAGTTGACTTTAACATGATCTTCTGAGATTTCTTAGTTTTCTTAGTTTGACTTGTTTTAATGATATGATTCCCTTGGTTTATAATCCTGATACAGAGGTGCGATGAACTTCAGCAGCTGCAGTGCTGATGACTTTGAAGCTATGATCTTAAATCGAGGGGGCTCTTGCCTTTTAAACATTCCCACACCTGAGGAAGAATACAGCCCTCCCTTCTGTGGCAACAAGCTGGTGGATATGGGGGAAGAATGTGACTGTGGATCACCAAAGGTCGGTTGTAAATTTACCACTGTTCATTCCTGAATGTATTGGTGCACCATGTTCAATTTAATGCTGATCGATCTATCATGATTATGTCTCAATTTCTTCTAGCCCCAATAATATTTCTGCAACAGTTTTGTCTTTCCTTATCCTTGTCACTCATTCCCTGAAAGGCTGAATCCTGGTTGTGATCTGGTATCCAAGGCAGTTTTCCAGTGCTCCAATCAAATCACTGTTACTCTTATGTGCATACTTCCTGGGTTTGGTTTAATCTTTGTAGGCTACCAATTGTAGGTGTTCATGACCAGCTACTTAGTGCACAATATAAAGGACACTGAAGCCAATTGTTCCAGTCTTGTCTGAAGATAGTTACCAGATCTGTGATGCAATCTAGGATGGTTTTATTATGTACATTTTAATGTTGCTGTGGGTAACTTACAGCTGGTGAATGGAAAAATGTGCAATTCTAAAACAGCATCTTCCATGGATAAAAAAGTTCAGGGACAAAGCAAAACTTGAGATACTGGGCCTATGTTCTTGGACCAAATATTACTGTATCTCGGAATGCTTTGCCACTGGAAGTAATTGAGGTAGAAAGCCTTGCATCCTTTCTGTAAGGGAAGAATAGGCAAATAACTGAAGCTAAGGAGATCAAAAGACCACAGGAAATAGTAGCAGAAGTGGTCTATTTGGACCATCGCTTCTGTTCCACCATTCAGTAAAACTGTGGCTTTTCTGCTTTTACCCATAACCCTTTAATTTCAGATTCAGGGTCAGAAGAAAACAGGACAACACTGGGCTTTGAATTATATTCCTGTAGAAAAGAGCCAAAGCAGATATGTAGACCGAGCCACATTGCATTTGATGTCAACATACAACATGTCAAAATTAAATTCCAGGTCGTACATCAGTCAGGAAGTCCGTTAAATCAGCACAGTTTTGAGGTTCATTGTCCAGTTTAAGAGACCTGGGAGGTTATTCACCCTGATCCAACCAGACAATGTCTGGCAGACTCGTTTATCATTGGAGTCCCTCTCGATTGTGTCTGAAGCTGGGAACATAATTCTACTTGTGCCACTTGGAGCCAGCAGTGTGATATCAGGAAGGTTAAGATATTACTAGAATTCTTTTCTTTACACTAATGTTTTTTGTTGAAATGATAGCCTTTCCTGCTTCGCCTTTGACTTTACTGGTACTTTAGTTAGGAGCAGGCTATTCTTGTCTATATATGTTACAGGTTGTTGCTGCTTATGTTGTTTTTAGGAAGACTGTTTCAATCGCGTACTCTGTTTGTCTTATGCTTTAATTTCTCACAGATTTATGAATCTGTCAAAATAAATCTTATGCTGCTCAAATGAATCTTGGCATAAATATTGGTTGGGGTTCAAACAAGTACAGCCCCATTATTCCTGCACTGTAACAATTGAATTGCACTTGGCATCATTTCATAAGATAATATTTTGGAAATGATAGATAAAAATAAGGTGATTTCTTTAAAATTGTACAAGCACAGTCTATAAGTGAGAATTTAACAATTGTGAGATTTTTCACTGGGGTTGAAGCTGAGCTTTAAGACAAATGGGTTGGAGAATGAGTGCTCCAGGATTGCATCACAATTATCCAACAGAGAGGAAAGCTCTCTGTTGGGTTCAGCTTTAGTCCTGTGGCCTTGATTTGCTTGTGTAGCGTGCCACATAGTGCCAGGATGAAGAATTACATCAGGCTTTCTCCACTGACTTTTCTCTTCCTGGAATTTGGCACTTTTGGCTCAATGCAGACTTGGAACAGTTGGGATCATGATCTTTGGAAATGACTTCCTGTGCCATTTTAATCTTGCCATTTATCTATTCCCAAACAGTTGGAACACACTTGGGGCACGATTTAGAATGATGAGGCAGAATATTCTGGGTTTTGCCCTTTGGTTGGTGAAGAGGTGTCACATGAGAGCACGGAGAATAAAAGCTGCTGATAATCTTGTGTTATTTTCACTGAATTGTATTGCTTGTGGTGTGTTGAAGTTCTTCTGGTATTTTTCAGGAATGTGAAAATGATCCTTGTTGCGAGGCCTCAACCTGTAAGCTCAAATACGGAGCACAATGTGCTTTTGGAGTTTGCTGCAAAAACTGTAAGGTAAGAACTTAAGGACTGACAAAGTGAGGCAATCTCATAACTGGTGAGTGTGACCCACTGTATTCCATTTGACGCAAGGCAAAAGATTAAGAGAAATGTTTAAAGTCAGAGTAAATCAGCATGATAGGCAAAGCAAATGTGATATAAGCAAAATAATTTGACATTTGGTTTGCTGCAAATGCAAGCAGTATGATTTAGCAGCATGCAAGGGATGATGAGATTGGTGGAATCACTTCCTGTGTGATTGAAGATGATATTATGACCTAGGCTGTTTCAGAGCAGAAAAGTTCGAAACAAATGATTTCCATTCATGAATAAGGGGGAGCTGTTTCGACTGACATCAAATTTCAGATGCCAAAAGAACCAGAGATGAATAGGGGATTACTTTTACCTCGTTACTTGTGATTACAGTGGTGAACAAGTGGTGGGAGCATACTTGAATAAATATTTTGGTCTATTTGGCTTTCTAGTCATCCCATATTGCTTTAGAACTAATGAAAACCTTTTAAACCACAAGGGTTATGTTGGCAAGTTTGTGAACAGCAATATTCCACAAACCAGTGGTGTTTGTTGAAGAAGACCTTGTCAAAAGAAGAATTCATCATTGAAGAATTAACTCTTCCAAAAATAGTGCTTCAATATCTGCAGACAGTAACTCAGCTAAAGATAGGCACCTCTACTAATGCAGCACACTCTTAGTTGTGCAGTGGTTTGCCACTTTCAATTATGTACTGTCCAAAGTCAGGCCTGAAAACCTAATTCTCTGACTTGCTATCACTGAATGGAGTTGAGACGAATGATATCTGAAGTCACAGATGCTAGTTGAAGCCAAACGATTAATAGCAGACACAGGTTTGATGGTAGGGAAAGCAATGGGCCAAACCGGTTTTTCAGTTGGAAAGGAGTAACGTGACTGAGAGCAGAAATTGGTATTTTCAGTTATTTTAAATTCATCAACTACCTATTCACAATCAGTCTTTGCATTCACTGAATTTATAATCCAGTATCTCACTCTAACACAACTGCTCCATTAGTCATTATTTGCATCTATGTATCTTTGCTCTCGAAATTGTTTCAAGAATTGAAAACATGAGTGAAGAATATTTCATGCTATTTAGTTTTAAAGTCATTTTTATGTAAATTTGAGGTCACCCCAAACTCTTGTCTCCATGTTCTAACTCATACTAAGTCCATTTAGCTAAACATCTCTGCTCGCTGACAACTTTTTGACTGGTTAAATAAAGCCTTGATGTTTGAAATTCTCATTCAACCTCATTCTTCTCTGCTCTGTCCAGCTCTGAAATTCTCCAAGGTGGCTGCTCTCTTCCAAATCTGATCTTCCCAATTTTAATTGCTCCACAATTGCTAACCGCATCCTCAGCCGCAAAGTCTCTAAATTCTGGAATTCCTTCCCCAAGTGCACTCTGTTCCCTTCTTGAAGACACTCCTCTTTCATTTATTTGGCAATGCTTTTGGTCATCTGTCATTGTATCTCGTTAGGTGACAGTCAAATTTGGTTTTGCTAACACTCCTGTGAAGCACCTTGTGAGGTCACAAAGAATGCTGTTGTCTGTTTCACACTAAAAACAATTGTTTTGGGGCTAAGGAAAAAAATTATTTCAGCAATCTATTTCAAATTTTATCTTTTGACTGTGGGAAGTGTACACATTGTGGGTACTGGGTAGCAACACTGTGCACGACTGAGCTTAACTATCCAATTTTCATCTCTACCTCCATGCTTTCCTCACCCTCACCACTCATGCTACTACAGTTCCGTCCAGCTGGAACAGTGTGTCGAGCATCTACAAGTGAATGTGACCTCCCAGAGTACTGCAATGGAACAACTCAAATTTGCCAAGCTGACGTATTTGTGCAGGATGGACACCCTTGCAAAAACAACAATTCGTACTGCTACAATGGAGCGTGTCAGAGTTATGATGCCCAGTGTGTAAATTTATTTGGACAAAGTAAGTAACCACTATGTCTCTTGTATCATGGCTTTAAAAGCATCATTCACATTACTGTAAAAAAAAATGCAGAAGAGTTACTTTTAGAGCCGTGTGATAAGAAATTCAGCTTGATGAGAGTTGGCGCACTTTTCAAAATCTAATTCATCCCCTTTCCACCATCAACCTGTGTGTTATTCTTGGATTTTTCCCAAGTGGTGTTGAAGAAGTATTGAAATATTTCCACATATTCAGAACTACACGTGACTGGAAGGGGACTGTAAGTATGAAGATGTTCTCACAGGATTGTCTTGCTTGCTAGAAGAGAGCACAGAGCCAGTCGTTTAAATCCGCTTGATGAGGTACTATGGTTAGTTGTGAAGATAGCATGTATGCCAGCCACCATCCTGAGAAATACTTGGCAGTCCGTACTTAAATCTGCTGGTTCAGGTTGAATACAGTTCAAAGGTTAGTTATTTTCGTGCCTTGATGACTTTTTCATTGTGACAGTCTCACAGAGAACACTTTGCTATATCGACTAGTCTTCCTGGTTATTTTCATTCTAGGAAAGCCGTGGGAAATGAATATCTGGGAGGACTGTAGGAGATGATTTGTTTGTATTTTTTTTCTCATCTATTTCTTCTTGCAGATGCAAAATCGGCTCCACGTATTTGTTTCCAAGAAGTGAATTCTAAAGGTGACCGTTTTGGAAACTGTGGCTCCAGTGGTGCTGGGTATAAGAAATGTGAGATCAGGTACGTTTTCTCACTTGAACTTTATGCCTGTGTAGTTAAATTCTTAATTGGTATGTTCCAGTAGGCTTGGTCCAATGACTGGGGTACCAAGCATACAGACTCTGGTGAATGGATTATTGAAGGACCAGTATGTATTTTGTATTGTTGTAAAACTCAATTATTTGTTTTTTCCAAATGTGTATTTATTTGCTAACGTGATGTTGTTTGACCAGGATCATTATTTACTTTGGGGTTGAGTGGTTCTCGTCCAGTGGTTTCCAAGTTGTGGTAATCGTCCAGGGAAATATCTGAGGTGTGAACAGGAGCAATTTCCCAACCATGGACTTTCTTCATTAAATATTTAGTATCACTCATTACTAACATATTTTATGTATCGTATTTAACTTTAAAATGATTGGAGCATCAAGTGGGTCGTTTATTTCATGGTATACAACTGACAACACTGATTTCACCGTCTTCATATATCTAATAGCCCTAGAATCCAATCATTGTACATTTAAAGCCTGGTTTATAAGCCAGGAACTATCTAATCTGACTGAGTTCAGAATCAAGTTGGATTTCACTGTTGGTTGCATCCGTTACACTGTAGCTACTGACACAGAACTGTTGTAAGTGATGCGATGTTAGTGAATTAGAAGATTGTGGTTCCTCTAAAGGCACCTGTAAATGATGCAAAGATTGCACATGCGCAAATAGAAAGCAACATCAGTGTCAGTGATGAAAAGTACCAGCTAGTCTCAAACATGGCACTGCAGGAAGTGTGCGGTTAGAAAAATTCAATTTTTGAAAATAAATTTGTAAAAACTCATACATGAAAAGGACACATGGAGATTGGCTGCACTTGTGGTGCTGGATTCTCAACCTCTCGTTCCTAGCACTAACTGCTGCAGCATGTTCTCTTGCGGCAAGCCGATGTAATGGGATCATCATTATAAATAATCACTCCATAAATTAAAACACGTTGTTCCGGAGCTAGGTATCTGGTACATATGGAAGACAGTATGTAATAACAAGTGTTCTAATATCTCTGTCCAAAGCCAAAATAAGAGTATAGTTTAAAACTAGATTTTAAATTAGAAGGACAATGACACATTCTTCGAGATAAACAGAAAGTGCAGGAAAAACTGAGCAGGTTTTCGGAACAGTTATACTCAACTCAACATTATCTGCTGCCTGGCCTCCTGGTTTCTTTACTGCATTCTGTTATTTCAGATTTTCAAAATCTGAAATGTTTTGATTTTAATTCAGTGATACATTCATGTTGATATTGTTTACCAGCAGATTTCAAAGCCCTTGCAATAAAGGGATAGTGAGCAAATGGATATGATGTTGGCTGTGTGACAGGAAACAGGGAGTAAAGGTGTATATTTGTTCCTTGGTGTAGAGGAAGATATATTATGAAGTTCTTTGGTGATGGTACTTGCACCACTGCTTTTAAAGATCTTGGTTTATCACCTAGTCTTGGGTGTGCAGTTATTGGTTTCAGAGCTGTGTTGCTCTAAGAGCTGGATATTGCAAACGATCAAAAACCAGATTAAACCACATGACCAACTATCACATGCAGTCCAGAAAAAGCAAACTAGAGTCTTGATGCATACATTGGTACGTGCACCTGCAAGTTATATTCTGAGCTGTTAAATAAACCTGGATGAAATTTTCAAGTAAATTGAATCTACATCGTTTAATCTGTGTAATTTATTGCAACCATAAGAAATATGTCACGGTGATCAATGTTGGAGATTTTCTTCAAAAAAAAAACAGTGAGATAAACTCGAAAACCACAGGAGAAAGCAGTGCAGAAGTTACATTGACACTGGAAAAATAAACCACGAGTGGAAGTGAGAGTATTTTATTTGTGAGCCTCTTCGATCAGAGAGTTCATTCCAAATTGCGCAGTTGGAGGAGCAAGGCAGTTGGCAATTTTGAGTGCACTTCTTGTGCAAAAGGAGAAATGTTTTGGAGAAACAAAGCTAATACTGCAGTGGAAGGTGCCACAGGAATAGTTGATTGAGTGGTTTAATCCTGGTTCCTGCCTCTTCGGCATATTCTAAGAGATGGACATGCAGAAGCAATTTATGCAGACAAGTGTGACGTGAGAGATTTGATTGGAAGATGGAGGAGAAGTAATGTTTTCTAAGGGATATAGCTGTCAGTGGGGTGCAAATGTTCAGGCTGAGGACAGTCAATAAGAGCACCAGTTTTGTGAAGGTGGCAGGGCAGTGTGAAGGATAGCTAATGAGGCATATGTGATCTTAGGTTTTATAACTCAAACCAAAGAATACAAAAGCCAGGGAAATTATGGTGAAACTTTAAAAACACTGGTTCAGCCTCAACTGGACCACTGTGTCCAATTCTGGGCCCAACGCTTTATGAAGGCTGCTGAAGGTTTTCGAGGATACCGAAATGACTCCTGAGAATGGTTTCAGGGATGAGGGACTTCAGTGACATAGATAGATTGGAGAAGCTCCAGGTTGAGACAAGACTTGATCAAGCTGTTGAGAAACTGTTCCTGATGGCAGAAGGATTGAGAACCAGACATTTTACATTACATATGATGCCGTGGGATACCTGGCACAAAGAAGTGTCTTTCAGCCCAAGCTGTAATGCTCCACTTGAGCCTCCACCCTCTCTTTCTTCAGTTAATTTGTCATGTAACCCCCAAACAGTCCTCCGGTAAATGCCTGTCTGGCTTCTCGTTAATTGCAGCTACAGAATTAATTTCAATCATTTCCTGTGGAAACCAGATCCCCATTTTCAAGACCTCACCTACCTTCCACCACCATTCTCTGGGTAAACAATCTTTTCTGAATGTTTTACAAAATTTCTTGGTTCCTATCTTACAATGACAGCCTCGCGCTTTGCACTTTCCTACAAGGGGAAACTTTCTGTCTACATCCACTCTATCAGCAGCCTTTCAGAATTTGAAGCCATCTATTACATCCCTCTTAGGCTTTTATTTTGTCAGGGGGAAGAGACCCACCCTGTTTCTGGATATCTACACATAGTTGTATCTGGTATTTGCTTTGTAAAGCTTCTCTGCATCCTTCCTTCTCCAGTGCTTGTAGAGCATTCTTAAAGCATGGAGACTGGAACCGTGCACAGTTCTTTTAAGTGTGTTCCAACCAAGGATTGGTACAGGTTGAGAACAACTTACCCGACCACTTCAAAATACACCTCCTAAAAGAAAGCTTAGTGCTTAGCTTGCATTTCTATGGTCTTGCTAATCTGTGGCATTCCTTTCAGTGACTGTTGTATTCATTGTATCGGCATTCATCTTAAATCGATCAGGGGAACGTGCAGAAAAATGTAGCATGTATTTGAGATGCTGAATGCAATGCCTGAGAGTACCATGGAGGCACTATGAAGGACAGTAGAGTAGGACAAAGTGAGTTGCTTATGCAGAGAGCTGACAGTGAAATAAAAGGCAGACTGGCCTTCTCTGCTTTGACCACTATAGAATTCCATAATAGACAGTAAGGCATTGAAAAAAAAATGTTAATGTTGAGGCCAAGTGCCAGGAGCTGAGAGGGAGGATAAATGTGAATACGATTTATACTTTGTCATTGTAAAAGTTAATAAGTGACACTACATCCTGCTGAAATGTTTCTTTTTATTAAATCGTGGGATGTGGGCATTAGTAGCTGGTCAGCATTTTATTTCCCCTCTCTAGTTGCCCTTCTTGAGGTGCCTTCTTGAACCACTGCCTTCCACATACTGTAGATATACCCCAATGCCCTTAGTGAGGGAATTCCAGGGTTTTGACTCAGCACTATGAAGGAATGATTATATATTTCCAAGTTGGGATGGTGAGTGACTTGAAGAGGAAGTTGCAGGAGGTGGTGTTCCTATGTATCTGCAGCCCTTGTCCTTCTAAATGGAAGTGGTCGCATGTTTGAAATGTTCTGCGTCAGGATCTTTGGTAAATTTCTGCAGTGCTGCTACTGAGTGTTCGTCGTGGAGGGGTTGGATGCAAGTGGATGTGGTGCCAGTCAAATGGGCAGCTTTTTTCCCCGATGGTGTTGAGCTTCTTGAGTGTTGCTGGAACTGCACTGATCCAGGTAAGTGGGGAGTACTGCATCACAGTCTTGATTTGTGTCTTGTCGTTGGTGGACAGGCTTTGGGGAGTCAGGAAATGAGTTACTCGCCGCAGTGTTCCTAGCTTCTGACCAGCTCTTGTAGCAGTGTGTTTATCTCATGAGTCCAGTTGAGTTTGTAGTCAGTAGTAACCCCAGTGATGTTACTGATGGGGGATTCAATAATGGTAACACCGTTGAATGTTAAGGGGTGGTGATTAGATTGTTTGTTATTGGAAATGGCTACTGCCTGGCATTTGTGTGGCGTGAATGTTACCTGCCACCTGTCAGGCCAAGCTTTGGTATTGTCTAGATCTTGCTCATTTGAACATGGAGTGCTTCAGTATCAGAGCAGTCGGGAATGGTGCTGAACATTGTGCAATCCACAGTGAACGTCCTCACCTCTGACATTAATGAAACAGCTGGAGACAGTTGGGTCTTCGAGCACCTGTAGACATGGCTGAGAGCAACTGAGATGATTGACCTCCTACAACTACAACCATCTTCCTCTTTGCCAGCTATGACTCAAATTAGCAGAGAGTTTGCCCCTTGATGACTCGAGTTTGCAAGGACTCCTTGATGCCACACTCAGTCAAATATAGCCTTGATGTCATGGACTGTCACTTTTACCTCATCTCTGGAATCCAGCTCTTTTGTCTGTGTTTGAACCAAGGCTGTAATAAAGGACAGGAGTTGAATGGCGCTGGCAGAACCCAAACTGGGTGTCACCAAGCAGTTTACTGCTGAGCAGGTGCAGCTTGATAGGATTTTTGATGACATCTTCCATCACTTTAATAATGATCAAGAGTAATTGGCTACATTGGATTTGGCCTGCTTTTTGTGTACAGAACATACTTAAGCAATCATCCATATTGTCGGGTAGATGCCAGTGTTGTATCTGTACTGGAACAGTTTGACCAGGGGAATAGCAAGTTCTGGAGCACAAATCTTCAGTACTATTGCCGGAATATTGTCAGGGTTCATAGCCTTTGCAGTATCCGCTGCTTTCAACTGTCTGTGACTTGCTTAATTAAACTGCAGATGCTGGAGCTCTGAGAGCTTCTTGATTTCACAACTAACCTGGGAGACAGCACCTTTGACAACCCAACATTTCCTCCATATTGTCCTTGTATTGTCTGCTTTGATATTTGTGCTCAGGCTGTAAACTCGAATGCACAATCTTCTGATTTGGAGAATACTACTTGCAAGTGAAAAAGCTGTCACTGAGTAAAGAACCTGATGAACTTAACTGTTACGTTTACTGCTATTTCAGTTCTGTGTCATAGTTTACGCAATCAGCAGTGATTTACACAGTAACAGTGTTGTGTTTTTCTTTATCTAGAAACTCCATGTGTGGGAAACTGCAGTGTGAGAATGTAAACTTTGCACCTGTTTTTGGAATCAGACCTTCCATCATCCAGACACCGATTGATGGGACAACATGTTGGGGGGTTGACTTCCGGTTGGGATCAGATGTCCCGGATCCTGGCATGGTAAACCCAGGGACACGATGTGACACTGGCAAGGTATATTTAAAACTGTTAATCTCTGGCTAGAATTGTGTTTTGGATTGTTTCATATTTGCTGTGTTTTTCTGTGTTGTGGAGTAATTTACAATTGGTAACTTCTGTAAACCGTGCCTCACTGAATAGGAACTAAACGTTCCTGAAGATGCATAAAACTCAAAATGCAAGCTAAGAGGTGCTGCGAGAAAACTAACAACCTTCAAGTTGGTAGATATATTTAATGCTTGCTCTAAATGTCCCAATTCAGTTGGTGGTGTTTGATTGGAATGTTTTAAAAGCGACAGAGAGTTGGCCGAGTTCCACTAAGTGCTGGATAAGTGGAATCGTGGAGTGAGCTGTGTGTACTACACTTGTAAACCTACAATTTGTTCAACCCATCTCAGAATGTCATTAGAAGGAGGCACTTAATTTCCGTGTTTCCAGCCTCCATTTTATGAACCTGTGTAAAGTTGGATCACGGGCACGTTTGATGGCACTGACTCGAGTGCTTTCGTCCCGATTGTCAGTCGTTGAGAACCAATGTTGCTTGGCCTCCAAATGAACAACTGAACTATTTACACAAGATGAGGTATTGCTATGTCTCAAATCAATTACTCGTGACCTAATATTAAGCTTGGGTTTATCATTGCACTGTAAAGCAGATCCACTCATTAGATGAAGCTGCTCGGCAAATTGCATTGATACTGACTTGATAACAGTCAACACAGGCTGTTTTGTGTTCAAAGTCACCAGCCAGTTGACAGAGTTTAATGCAATGAACCCCATGCCCTGGAAGTCACATGGAAAAAGAGACTAGATGACTGGCGTACCTGCAAGAGTGAAATTATACGACCCAACAAGTGCAGATAGATACTCGCGGTAGAGCTGGGACTTAGGACAGCATTCATTCTGAAGTGAGGATTTCCAGAACTCTGGGCATTTGCAAAGATGTGAGAGGGTTTCACAAATCAGACATTTCACTTTGTCTTGAGATATCTTAATTTTTGTGATTTTTATATTAAAAAAATCAAATTATTTAAGTTTCTACATTGTAGTAAAACATTATTCCTTACAACACAAGCAGATAACATGGATATGTATATGAATAAGAAATGTTTGGAGGAAAAGGGGCCAAGTGCAGGCAGGTGTGACGAGTTTAGTTTGGAATATCAGTCAGCATGGACTGGTTGGACCGAAGAGTCTGTTTCCATGTTTTTGGACTGTTTAACAACAGGTCTATTCACTTTTGGTATGCTCGTAGCTGTGCTTTGGAAGTAGGGTCAGGAAGTCTCCTACAGAGTTCCAGAATTAAGAAAAGAGTCTTCTGCACAAAAAATGTTAAAAACTGACATCTTGGAGAAATTGAACACAGGTCTATATCTAACTGTTAAACCTCTTACTCAAAGAAATACTCTCGTTTTACTGGTGTGCCAATAACATCACCCAACTGACGACAGAAATTTCCACATCTCACAATAGACAATGTTGTAGTCACTTCCATTTTTCAAAACAAACATTGTGAATAAATTGAAGAGCATTAAAGATCAGCCACATGTGTTGCATTCTTTGTTACTTAGCACTATTTTTATTTGTTTTAGATTTGCATGGATTTCAAATGTGTGGATGCATCTATTCTAAACTATGACTGTGATGTACAGATCAAATGCAATGGCCATGGTGTAAGTAACAGCTTCTGAATCAATTCAACTTTATTTTTGCCAGATGAAACAGTGACTTAGTGCCACATTTTTTTCAATTAAGTACTTTGTCTCAGTTGAGTATGCTGCATTCAGATAAAGGAAAACAACACACAGTGGATGCTGGAAATCTGAAATAAATCAGAACATAATGGAAAATCTCAACAGGCCTGGCAGCATCTGTGGAAAGAGAGACAGTTAACATTTAAATTTGAATATGACTCTTGTTAAGAACTATTTCTAATAATAGTGACTCCTAATGTAGTTTCCTCCTACATGAAGGAGACCAGGCATAGATTGGATGACCACTTTGCAGAATATCCCTGTGCAGTTCACAAAAGGTAACCCAGAGCTACTAATCACCTATTATTTTAACTCTTCACTTTGCTTCTGCCTTGTTGTCAGCCTCCTATACCATTCTCATGAAGCTCAATGCAAGCTTCTAAAGAGTATCTCATGTTTTGATCAGGCGCTATATTCTCTTTAAGTTCACCACTTAATTCAACAGTTCCAGAGCATAGCATAGTTCCCTTTTGAATGTTTTATTTCTGGATGACAGTTGTTCGTAATCAGAATCATTATTCCATTTCAGAATAACATTCATGACAACCTGCAATGTTCACTTTCTCTCTCTCCAGATGCTGCCTGACTTGAGTATTTTCATGATTATTTTGAGTTCAGTTTTCCATAGTATTTTCCTTTGGGGTTATCCTGTTACATCTCATCCACATCTCTTGTTTCTTTCCTTGGCTCATTAGCATCTCCTTTTGTCTTGAATTTTTAATCACTGAATCTCTCTTCTTTTCCACCCAATCACAGATCATTCTTTTCCCTCTTACTATCCACTCCATACTCCCTTTGGATATTTGCAGGTCAAGCAAGTATAACTTTTCTTCATCGGCATTAACCACAAACTGTTCCTCTATCCATCATTGCTGCCACACCTACAGAAAATGTCCAGCATTTTGCGTTCATCTTTCAATAATGAAAATGTTCCTTTGTCAGGAATGAACAGTTGGCCCTTGATAAATTGAAACCTATATTTTGAAAAGCAATGCCCCAGACACCTTGAATTATTCTGAATGCAGAATAATTATACTTTCCATCCACGTGGCACTCTGGAATGAAGTGAAATCTACCTGAAAGGATTAATGGTAAGTTTAGCAAAGGTAGCAGAACTGATGTAAGGTGCTCACCATGTCATTGTCCATCCATGACAATAAGATTAAATAACAACTTAGAAAAAACACTTCGTGGGCGCCTATGACAAGTGGTTTGACTTTCTTTGAAGTTACAGTTGCCTCTACGTTGGTCAGATGGTGTAGAATGCGCAGCTTAGAAACAGATCCCGATTACGAAAACCAAGTACTTCAGATTCTGAAACGATGAAATAAACAGAGAGAAACACTAGAAATACTGAAGAGGTATGGCAGCCTTTGTGAAGTGAGAAATAGCATTGAAAGGAACCTTTTACACATGTGGAAATTTGTATCAGTGCTCTGTTGTGTGAGCGTTTTACAGTCTGTATTTTTAATTTCTACGAGATGGGTTTCAATTAATTTTGAACCTCTCTCCTGTAATGCCAGTAAGGAACTGGAGATGGGAATAACATACTTTGAATCCAATTCATAACTGACAATAGTTCAAAAATGACTCAGCAATGCATAATTGACAAACTTGCTTTCTTTCCTTGAGAAGCATAACGGGGAAATTGAAGAACTGTTTGCATGATGGGTTAACAGCAGGTGATGATAAATTTGGTGAATTACTTCATTAGAGTAGCAGCAGTCTGAAATGAGTAATCTAACATCAGTCACTTGCTGCTAAAGTAGCATGAAGCAATAGAATTGACACCAGTTTGCACACGCATCTGAGCTCTTGACAGAAGAGTTTATTTTTCTTTGATAATATCAAGTGACTTAGTTTTGGGAATTTTATGTATTGTTCATTCATGACCCTGCATTCCATCTATGCACAAACTCATCAGTGTATTTTTTGGCTTTTCAGGTGTGCAACAGTAATAAGAACTGTCACTGTGATAGAGGGTGGGCACCTCCAGATTGTGCAAACACTGGCTATGGAGGAAGCATTGACAGCGGACCAACCTATGATGGTAAGTAGCTGAGAACAATGTGACTCATGCCACTGCTCTGGAACAGAAAGTCATTCCTACTGAAGGTGTTGTTAAACACTGAAAACAGGAAGCTGACACTCAGACTGCCTGTGGGCAAATATTTGATGCCACCGATGTCATCATTGTATGCCTGTTGTCTTCCCTTGCCATCTTCAACAAGGGACCAGGGTAATGACTTGATGGGAGGCAGCGATGGGTGAACCATGAGGCAGTGAGTGGGGCAGCAAACAGATCTGAATAGTGTTAGCAGGATTGTTAAGTAGAGTTTTAGAATTCAATATTCAGTGAAGTCTGCAATCCTTAACCATGATACTGTGCTGCCTGGGCGAAATCAAATAACATTTAAAATTTTGCACATCCCAGAAACATTTGAGAAAAGCACATCTATTGATGATGCACTTGTTAAAATATCTGCATATTGTTCTTTGATGGAACCAGTTAGCTTCAGCGTGATTTCAGGCATCATGACTGCATGTGTGGTGACTGTGAGCCCTTCAGTTGTGGTAGCAGCAAAATCAGGCTCAAAATTATTTGCTTTGTGATGGTATGAAAAAACTCAGCTGTCTGCTTGAGTTGCACTTAATCCACTAGCTTAAATATTCATTGCTGGCATTTGGTGGCTGCACAGTGTCCAGTCTTCAACATGCAATGCAACAATTTATCAAGTCATCTTTAGCAGCATTTCCCAAACTTCTGGCCTTCATGCTCCACACACATAGATAAGAATTAGCAGTAAGAATCAACTATTTGTCCCTTCAAGCCTGCTCACCATTCAATGCAATCATGACTCTTCTTCTGTTTCCATCCCATTTTCTGGCTCTATTTTCATTTCCCTTGATATTTTGAATGACCAGAAATCAATCAATCAATCAATCAATCTCTGTCTTGAATTCACTGGCAGTGAATGTGCCAGTGAACATACTCAATGACTGAGCCTTCTTAGCTCTCACAGGTAGAGAATGCTAAAGATTCACCGCTCTCAGAATGAGGAAATTCCTTCTTGTCAATCCCAGCATTGTTAGTTTACAAGTTGAATTTTGACAAAAGAAATGTCAATAAAGTCACAATTGAAAATCCTTGCATATTTCAGATTGTTATGATATAGGTTTAGATCCGACCTAGGTGCAAAATATGACTGCAATTGTAAATCTGGTATTCTTAACATTTCTCTGAAAGTTTTTCCATGGATCTGCCAATCTTTCAGTCCCACTGAATTGTCTGAAGAGTGTGATATTTTTTGAGATGTCCACTGCTGGCGTGTAATGGAATGAACCACCTCAACCAGTATGTGGTTCTGGGAAAGGTTGTTTGAGGTCATTCACTGTGACCAGTCTTCCTTTGTCTTCTCACTATCTCTTAGTGACAGAGGATACATTATTGTAGAGTGTCTACCAAAGTGACGATTGTCTTAGATGACAGGAAGATTTAATGCATGACAGCAGTAATACAAATACAAGTATATATATACATATATCAGATATAATGACTACTCAGGGAACTGGAATAGATGCATTTGCTTCTTCCAAAAACTGGAGTAGAACTCTTCATCTCCACCCTCAGACTCTTTGATATCAGTGGAATTGGTGAAGGCAATGTCATGTGAACATGAACCCCCTCATAACCATTACTTTAATTTGCAGAGTAATGATTAATGAGGTAAAGTCAGGTCAAGGCGCCATTGTCCCAGAAGACCAGAAGGCTGCTCACTCATTAGGGAGTGATGACTGTTGGTGGTTTCACCTGGGAGTCACCACGCAACGACTGAGGAGTGAGGTTGAGAAAGAGATGTGATAAGATCAGCCAGTGCAGGAATTGAACTCAGTGCTGGCATCACTAACCAGCCGCCCAGTCATCTGAACTCAATCAATACCCAATGTTTACTGACTCTGATAATTAAGTATATTTTTCTTCTTTTCAGATAAAGATACTACACTTCGGGATGGTCTGCTGGTGTTCTTCCTCCTAGTGGTTCCTTTGCTCCTTTTGGCTATATACGTATTTGTGAAAAGAAATGAACTCACAAGAAGATTCTGTCGGAAGCGAAGTTCTCAAACACAGAAGTAACAATTTTACTTTTCTCAAAGTTAATGCTTCTTTTTAAAAATTAAAACCCTGCTGAACATGTGAAATGAAACAGAAAGTGTCACAAAGTCTCTGTGATGAATTAGATTATCAGGGAGGGAAGCTTTGTGATACTCGAAGGCTTCAGACAGACACTTTTCCTTGGAACACAATGCTTCTGGTTTGTAACGCTATGAACGGTGTGGGTGACTGTCCTTGTTCGTTCTTGTGATATTAAGTGATTAAGCTCAAGGACTTGAAGTGTTGTGAAGACTGAGGTAATCTGTCAATTTAGTGGTTCCTGCATTTGAGAAAGAAAATAATTTGTTGTGTGTGGCTGAAAACAAGTTATGCTATCAAAACTTGCAAAACAATACCTTTGAACAGAGTTAGCAAGAACTGCTGACGCTGGAGTCAGAGACAACACAGTGTGGAGCTGGAGGAACACAGCAGGCCAGGCAGCATCAGAGGAGCAGGAAGGCTGACGTTTCAGGACGGGACCCTTCTTCAGAAATGAGAAGGGGGAAGAGACCTGGGAAATAAAGAGAGAGAGGAGGGATGGGGCTGGGGAATGTAAGTGGAAAGGTGATAGGTGAGGGCAGGTAGGGATGGTGGGGATTGGTCAGTGGGGCGGATAGGTGGGCGAGAAGATGGACAGGTTGTGTCAGGTCAAGGAGGCGGGGATGAGAGGGAGGGTTGGACATGGGATGATGCCAGGAGTGAGGAGATTTTAAAACTGATGAATTCCACGCTTAGACCATCGGGCTGTCGGCTCCCTAGGCGAAATATGAGGTGTTGCTCCTCCAGTTTGCAGGTGGTGTCATTGTGACACTGGAGGAGGCCCAGGATGGACATGTCGTCCAGGGAGTGGGAGGGGGAGGGGGCAAAGTAAAATGTTCGCGACCGGAAATGTACGAACAGAGTGCAGATGCACTACGAAACGGTCTCTTAGTCTCACCGATGTAGAGGAGGCCACATCAGGAACAGCAGATACAGTAGACCCAGTTGACGGATGTGCAGGTGAACCCCTGTCTGATATGGAAGGTTTGTTTTGTGCTTTGAATGGAGGTAAGGAGGGAGGTGTAGGTGAAGATGTAGTACTTCTTTGGTTGCAGGGAAGAGTGCCGGGGTGTTGGGGTTAGTGGGGAGTGTGGAGCAGATGAGGGAGTCGTGGAGAGAACAGTCCCTATGAAAGGCAGATAGGGGTGGGGAGGGAAATATATCTTTGGTTGTGGGGTCGGAATTGTAAGTGGTTGAAGTGGCAGAGAATGATACGTTGGATGTGGAGGTTGGTGGGGTGATATGTGAGGACAAGGGGGAATTCTGTCTTTATTTTTCTCGGGGGGAGAGAGTGTGAGGGCAGAAGTGCGGGAAATGCAAGAGATGCAGTTGAGTGCATTTTCGATCAGCAAAGGGGGAATGTTACGGTCCTTGAAAAAGGAGGACATCTGGGATGTTCTGGGTGGAACACCTCACCTTGGGAGCAGATGTGGTGGAGGTGGAGGAATTGGGAGTATGAGATCACGTTCTTGCAGGAGGGTGGGTGGGAGGAGGTGTATTCCTGGTAGCTGTGGGAGTCAGTGGGCTTGAAATCGACGTCAGTTTTGAGGCAGTCACCAGAGATGGAGACGGAGAGGTCCACGAAGTAGAGGGAGATATCGGAGATGGTCCAAGTGAATTTGAGGTTGGGGCGAAAGGTGTTAGTAAAGTTGATGAACTGTTCAAGCTCCTTGTGGGAGCATGAGGCAACGCTGATATAGTCACCAATATTAATCTGTCTGTGTCATCCTTCATGTCTGGTGGTGCATGGGCTAATGCCACATTGCAGTTGGCAAACATTGGTTAGAGCATTGAATATTGGAGTTAGGATGTCATTTTGCAGCTGTATAGGACAATAGTGAGGCCAATTTTGGAGTGCTGCTTACAGTTATAATTGCCCCCTTATAGGAAGGATATTATTAATTTGGAAAGGGTGCAGCAAAGACTTACAAAGTTGTTAATGGGATTGGCGGGTTTGAGTTAAAAGGAGATGTTGGAAAGGTTTGGACTTTTTTCCTTGGAAAAGATTGAGGGGTGACCTTATAGAGGTTTATAAAATCATGAGAGGCATAGATAAGGTAAATATCAAAGGTAGGGTAGGGAGTCCAAAACTAGAGAGCATACGTTTAAGGTGAGAGAAGAAATATTTAAAAGGGACCTGAGGGGAACTTTTTCACATAGAGGGTAGTGAGTATGTGGAATCACCTGCCAGAGGAAGTGGTAGATGCGGGTACAGTTACAACATTTAAGAGACATTTGGACATGAACATCAATCAGAAACGTTTAGAGGGATATGGGCTGAACGCAGGCAAATGGGACTAGTTCAGTTTGGGAAGCCCAGTTGGCATAGACATGTTGGACTGAAGGTGGTTTTTGTATCTACATATTGATTTCAGTGAACCTGAACAAACAGGGTACTTGGTACACACTTCCGAGAGAGCCTACCAGAACCTCAGGCATCTCCAAATGACTTTCAGTCACCAAAGTACTTTAGAGATGTAAGAATGATTGTAATGAAGGAAACAGGACTTTTTTTTTCCTGCACAACAGGATTCCGCAAATAGAAATGTGATACTGACCTGATTTCATTTTTCAAAGTGCTTGAGGGATAGAAATTCACTGTGCTTCTGAAATCGGCTTAAGGGGGGAGATATTGCCTTCGTTTATTGTCTCATTTGACAATGCAGCACCTCCTTGGTACTGTACTGAAATGTCAGCCTGGATCATGAGCTTGAGCCCCTGAAATGACAGTTGAACACACAACCTGCTAAAGCCACCACAGATGCACGTTAACTTGCGCTGACTTGGACAAATGAATTCACTTAATTTAACTGGACTTCTGGACAGATTTTTCACTGGTTTGCGATCATCCTGTTTTTAAGCCAGCAACTATGACAGTAATTCACAATTTTAATCTCAACCGACTGTACCATACTTTAGTTGAGATGTGAAACCATGGAACTATTGAAAGAAAGAAGGTCTTTGTATTCCAGTCTATATTTCTCCATCAGTCAACAAAACCGAAAAAAGGAAGTAACTGGCCATGACCTCTCTTTTCCTATTTGGATGACTTGTGTATTTCATGCGTAATCAGTTGTGAAATACTGGAGGTGCTTGAAGGATGTGCTAATGCGCACATACTCCTTATTGCATTGTATTGACATGCTAATCTATGGACATTGTGCACCAGAATTCAACATGGATTTGTAACCTTGTATTAACTGTATATGGAAACTGGATGAGGAAAATTGTTTTTCTAAAGAATGTAATGGTGCAGATTACTGGAAAGAAACTTGTGTTGTTTTGTCACGTTTGTTCTGCTTCAATTAGGTCTGAAAACAGAGCTCAACCAAGAAATGCCTCAAGTAACTCAGCAAAAGAAGGGGTAAGTAGTGGTTCCTGAAAGTCAGTGTTTAAGCAGCAAATCAGTCCAAGTATTGCGACAAATTTTTAGCAATCTCCTTACAGGCTGATAATAGATGTTGATGTGTTCGCCGAGTTGGGAGGTTTGATAGCAGATGTTTCGTCCCCTTACGAGGTGACATCTTAGTGCTGTGGCGCTTCCTGTGAAGCGCTGTTGTCTTGTGTTGATTCGAATTTATATGGTCTGGTTTTTGCTGCTACCAGTAGGTGCCCATTCCTGCTGTGCGTTGTAATGTCGGTATATCGGGTCTACGTCAATGTGTTTGTTGATGGAGTCTGCGGATGAATGCCAAGCCTCCAAGAATTCCCTGGCTGTCCTCTGTTTGGCTTTTCCAATGATAGTAGTGTTGTCCCAGTTGAAAGTGTGGTTTTTCTCGTCTGTGTGTATTAAAACCAAGGACATCTGGTCGCGTCTGCTGGTTTGTATGCTGTCATGATTCCTAAAGGTCTGAATAGTCTGACTGTAAGTTCTGAGGTACTTTTTTATATATATGGTATGAGCCAGACTACTCAGACTGCTAGGAATCACGACAGCACACAAACCAGCAGCCACACTAAGACAGCAAATGACCAGAGTTAAAGACCCAATAGATACCATGGACAGGGCAAATGTGGTCTACAAGATACCACACGGAGACTGCACAAAACACTATGTGGGACAAACAGGCAGGCAACTAGCAACCCGCATTCACAAACACCACCTAGCAACTAAACGACACGACCAGATGTCCACACACAGACGAGAAAAACCACACTTTCAACTGAGACTACACTACTATCATTGGAAAAGCCAAACTAAGGATAGCCAGGGAATTCTTGGAGGCTTGGCATTCATCCGCAGACTTCATCAAAAAACACATTGACTTAGAACCGATATACCGACCGTTACAACGCACAGCAGGAATGGGCACCTACCGGTAGCAGCAAAAACCAGACCATATAAATTTGAATCAGCATAAGACAACAGCGCTTCACAGGAGGCTTCACAGCATTGAGGATGTCACCTGGTATGGGGACGAAATGTCTGCTATCAAACCTCTCAGCTCGGCAAACACATCAACATCTAGAACCAGTGCCTGAGTGACAAATCTTCACTCAAAGGCTGATAATATTGAGAAAGATATTTGAAATTCTAGTGATTGACTGGAAGGATCTCACACAAGAACATTTCGAGTTTTAAGACCTGTTATCTTCCAAATTAACCAGGAGCAACATTGTCTGAACACTTTTCACTAAACAATTTATACTCTAAACTACAGCAAAGAATCCCCCATTTAGCTTCTAAAACAATGGAAAACCCCTAATATAGTCATTCTTAACCCTGTATCTTGAGTGGACCATCCAAAGCTATTATCAGTTGGTTTTTCCCCTTTTCCAGTCAGCTAATGTCTACTTCCCAAATGGACTGTCACGCAAAGTGCCGAACTGGAGATCTCTCTCTCTTGTCAAAGATAGGCTTATCTTCCAACTCTTTTTAAATCCTCATGAAGTTGGTCTCTTAAGTTTGAATGTGAACTTCCACTGACATCCTTGCAATGTGCACAAAAGAGACATGCTGCCTCTATCTTTCTGCTTTTTTTATTTCTCTCTCTTGGGTTGTTACAGTCTGATCCTGTCTCTGAGATTCAGTAATTTAGTTCAGGGAAGCTGCAACTCAATCCTTCCAGTGGGCCCTATCTCTCTCAGAATCTAAATCCATGATAATATGAAACAAGTGGGCCTCGCATCTAGGTGGAAATGTTTATTAGCTCCCCTGTAGACTTCCAACTTCATTCTATCGTGGAAGTAAAAGATACTTTAAAGTGTAACTACTCACAAAACCAGACATTGAGAACATCACCCTGGGACTTGCAGACTGCCAGTTTATCCATTGTCAGTATAACTGCTGAGGTCATTGTTACAAGTATGGATATCTGAAACCGTATTTCTGTAAAGCCTGGATATCGTTTACCTTGTCAGCATAATTCAGAACAGCCTAAACTCAAGACTCATTCGCAAAACACAAAGATTTTGCAGATCTAACATTTGTGGCAATGCCTAAAAGTCCATGTTAATTCACAACAGTGGTTTCTCTCTGAGGTGAGGAGCAAGGCTTGCCTAGTTAATATATTTTTCTAGCTGTTTGCCTCCTCATTCAATGTGGCTTTCTTTGATAATACAGTTGCCTGAAAGTGTGAGTTTGCAATTTGCACTTGGCCTTGTTACCAATTAGCAACTGAACTAAAGATTGACTTTACAATGTCTACATGTGATTCTGACCAGCAATGGATTGTACCCCTCCATCTTGTTGTTTTTCAGTTTCATCATAGTGATTTATTTTTTTCTCTTGTCATTATTCATTTGTAGGATATGAGCATCTCAGTGAGCATTCACTGTCCCACCTGTTTGCCTTTAAAAAGGCGGTAGTGCAATGCCTTCTTGACCCACTTTAGGCCTTAGGTGCCACTGCACCATGAATTGTTACAGCTTTTAGGAAATATTTACCATCTAAAACAAGCTGTATTTGGACATTAAATTTGATCACATAGCATCTGTTTATGCATGTATCTGAAGTGCCAAAATAGTGGGCAGTAATCATCTGTAATGTCCATCAGAGATGCAACACCATTGTATTGCATACAAAACATGGAGATTTCATTTCTTCATCCGTGAAGCAGGCATTAGACTGTAGCACTTCCATTTAAGGAACTTAGTGTCTGCTTCAAGCTTTCATTACAATTACAGATTTACAGAATTGTGAGGAGGCAGAAGGAGACCATTTAACTCATTGTGCCTGCATGGTTCTCAAATGAGCATCATTCCTGAGTGCCAGTCTGTTGCTTTGTCCTCACATCTTTGCACACTATTTCCATCTAAATAATCATCCAATGCCCCCTTAAATGCCTCGATAGAATCTGGCTCTGCCACACTTTTCAGGTAGTACATTCCCTACCATAGCTACTTATTGAGTGAAAAAAAACTTTTTCTGACATCGCGTTTGCTTCTTTTGAACATCACTTTAAATCCATACTCCCTCATTTTTGATCCTTTTGCAAGAGGGAACAGCTTCTCCCTATCTACTCTATCCATCCCACTCATGGTTTCTCTCCAGGAAGAGCAATCCTAACTTCTTCCATCTGTCCTCATGACTGAAGTTTCTCATTCCTGGAACCATTCTAGTAAGTCACTTCTGTACTCTTTCCAATGCTTCACATCTTTGCTCATTTTTCATCAACCCAATGTTTTTCATGTGACGTTCTAATTCAATCGCAAATCATTCTATCTATTAATTCACTGAGAGGGTGGTGGGAGTCTGGAAATCACTGCCTGTAAGGGTGGTCGAGGAAGAAACCCTCATAACATTTAACAGGTATTTACATGTACACACGGGATGCCAAGACGTACAAGGCTCTGGCTCAAATTCTGGAAAATGGGGTTAGAATAGTGGGGTGGTTGTTCTCGGCTGGCTGAGGGGTCTACTTCTGTGCTGTAGACCTCTTTAAGTTTTCCCCTCGCTGAAGTTAAACTGATTTGGTCTATAATTGCTGGGATTAACCATCCAAACTTTCTTGAACACATCGCAGTGGTTGCAATTCTCCAATCCTCTGGCACCTCCATTTAGCCCAGGGAAGTCTGAAAGATTATGGCCATGACCACTGCACTTCAAAAATTTTGGATGAGTCTCACCCAGTCCAGGTGCCTTTTCAACTTTAAGTGCCAACAGTCTGTCCAAGACCTATTCATTTTGAACCATTGAGTGATAGAGTCTACTCTAATCATGGGCTGGGCAGCATCTTCCTCTCTTAAAAAGACAGATGCAATATATTAATTAAATACCTCTGCCATGCCCACTGTCTTCATGTGTAATGAATTCTGTTGCCCATATTCATATGGACTTCATATTTCAGACGCAAGGTATTAAATCCTGCAACAAATAGACAGTCAAAATTGGACTTCTTGAATTTAACCAACATTTATAAGTCAAAACTGCACAGATACCTTTAAGTTATTTAAATGCTGTTGTCTCAGAGAAAGTAAGGAGGATGAGACAAAACTAACCTCTGCCAAAACACAACATCCAAATTTAGGTTTGTTAGCCCATCTTGTCAACACAGCAGTAACTTTTCTTTTGTTTTCAATACACCAGGTCAACTTACTGACAAGTCAGCAGGTAATTGAACTTACTGAAACTTCAGGGATAAATATTTCTTTGAGCTGGTGTTCTGTTTCTTGCTATCAAAAAACATTCTGAAAGTAATATGGTGATTTCTCTTGAATACAATTCACAAAGCTCCTTTGTATTTCTGCACAATTGAAAGCCTGCTTCAAAATCAGCTGGCAGAAAGTAGACAAAAACTCTGCTAACTATTCATGTTAAAAGACACAGTGAGGTGCATTTAATGTGAAAAAACTCCCATTGATGTCATGTCCTATTTCTTGGTCGTGATGGCCATTTGTCTGACCAGCAAGTGCCAATGAGATACATACATCCTGAGAGCTTTGTGCTTTGTGAGAAAGCTGTGATACTGGTTCTGCATGCAGCATGGCAAATTATGGGGACACCTATGATTCCAATCTCTTGTGAACAATGTGCACTGAGTTAGTAATTAACTAATCTTCACAGCCACAATATTTCTTCTTTCTGTGTATAATTCTCCTCTTGCCGTATGTAGACAGAAATCTTTTGACCAGAGAGTAATGTAAAAGCCAATAGTTTTGGCAAGATAAGGAAAACTTTCGAATGAGGTACACAAGAGGAATTCTATCTTGCTGTCATAGTCTCGCTTTCTTCCCAGCTTTCACAATCACATTTTAAATCTGTTTGTTTCAGGAAAATGTCATTTTCACCCCCTCCACTTTTTTATCTCTACTTAAAAATTTAGTTGTTCTCATCAATTAAAGCCTATTTAGAGCATGCTTTTGACTTGTGCCTGGGATTTCACACAACAAATGATCTGCACAGATAAAACAGCAGCTACCTTAGAATGACAATTGCATTTTCTTGATGTTTCAACACCTACCTGTTGTTAAGGTCAGTGATACTTAAAACTATATAATTATGACTTTTCCAATGACAAATTTGGCTGAAAATTTGAGTCCTGGTCTGTACAGAATGGGTTGATGTCAACTAAATAAGACTGACATGGCTGACTTCAATGCATCTGTTATAGTTTAGGGAAAATTGGATTTTTGTTCAGGATGGCCTCTCAGTGCTGGAAAATTTGACATGTGAAAAAGACCGGGCCAGACTTGTGGTCTTGAACATGGCTTCCCATGTTATACCCCATTGGGCATGCAAGTCCCAAAATGCTGGTAGTCCAACCTGTGATGTCCAGGTGACCTTGTTCTGTTGACAATTCAATATTTTGTCCCCTCCTCCTACCGCATCCCAAAACCAGTCCAGCTCGTCCCTGCCTCCCTAACCTGTTCTTTCTCCCACCTATCCCCTCCTCCCACCTCAAGCCGCACCTCCATCTCCTACCGACCAACCTCATCCCGCCCCCTTGACCTGTCCCCTTCCTAACTCCCTACCTACACTCACCTTTACTGGCTCCATCCCCGCCTCTTCGACCTGCTTGTTTCCTCTCCACCTATCCTCTCCTCTATCCCTCTTCTATCCGCCTCCCACTCTCTCCCTATTTATTTCAAAACCCCCTTCCCCTCCCCCTTTTCTGATGAAGGGTCTAGGCCCGAAACGTCAGCCTCTCTGCTCCTATGATGCTGCTTGGCCTGCTGTGTTCATCCAGCCCTGCACCTTGTTGTCTCGGATTCTCCAGCATCTGCAGTTCCTACTATCTCTGATTCAATATTTTGTCTGCTGTTTTGTCCCATGAAAATGTTGTGCGTTGAGAGGTTTGTTTCATTCTTTGACAAGTCATAAATCATAACACTGAGAACCACTGAAACATTTCCATGTCATACTAACACGGACTTTTACTTTACGTGGTCCAGACTGCACCACATTTTGCAATGAATTAGCTCACGATCTCAAGAGGGCATAAAATGGTAGTCAAAGCTTGTCTGAACATAAGACCTAGGAGCAGAAGTAAAATCTTTCAGCCTCTTATTGTTGTTCTGCTACTCAGTAAGATGATGATGAATCTGTTCATGTTTTGAACTCCACATTCTGATCTACCCTCATGCATGAAGAATGAACATTTGGCTAATGTATAGAGGGCTGACTGTTCCTGAAACTGCACCATAGCTCAAGTTTACTGGGTCATGTCATTGATGTGAGTAGTTGGCTGTAAAGCATGATTTAGACACAATGTAGGAAGGAAAATCAGATAAACTTAATCATTTATGTGTCATCTGTGTCACTTGCTCTTTTTCGCTGCTGTGTGACCACTATTGTTCCAGTTTGTCATGATGAAAATCTCCCCAAATATCTTTAGAGAAAGGTCATAAAGGAGAGAAATTATGCAACAAAAAATTCAAGTTAAAAATAATTGAGATGCACTTTCATGTTTTTTTAATAGTGGGTGTTGTGGTGATAAAACTCCTGGCATTTTGTCTGAACTTTGTCCTGAATATCCATTTAATCATGGTTCCTTTTTGACCTTTGCTGCCTTCAACTTTTTATATAAGAAGCAGCCTGAGAAAAAGATTTGCATTGAGATAGTGCCTTTCACATCGTCAGGTTATCCCAAAGTGCTTAATGGTTAGCTGAGTAAATTGAAAATGCCATCATTTATTTTGTCAGAATATGCGACTGCCAATTTCTGTATGACCCTGTTCAAGAAACAACATGATCATGATCATATTATTTTGTTTTGTGATGTTGATTGAGGGCTATGCATTGGCCAGCTGACAGGGAGAACTCTCATTCTCACCTTGAAAATGGTACCAAAGAACCTTACATCCACTCGAAGGGACAGATGCGGATGTTCCTTTAATGTCGGAATTGAAAGAGGTCACTTGTGCATTTTGCCTTGTTCATTGTAAAGTCTGTTCTGATGTCAAGTGCCCAAAGTCCATCCATGTTCTCATTGTATGGAGTCAGAGTTCTACAGCAGGAACAGACCTTTTGGTCCAACTTATCCCCGCCAATCAGATATCCTCAACTGATCCAGTTTCAAGACAAAAGTCAGACTGGCCAGTCAGCAGCTCAGGACTATGTATGTGTATTATATTATCCAAGTATCAGAATATACTACTGCTGGATGAAACACTGGTCCACAAAAATCTTTTTAGCCCAATTTATCCTTGGACAGTATTTTTCATTCTGCTTTGCTGTATGCCTGTACTTTGCCCTCTCGTGGGGAAAACCTAAAATGACTGCAGCTCCTGTGCATTTACAGGAACGAAAACACAAAGTGCTGGAGAAATTCAGATCTGGCAGCATCTGTGAAGAGAAAAATAGAGTTAATGTTTCGAGTCTGGTGACTCTTTGTTAGAAGCTGTCTTTTCTCAGCATTACCCGTTGTGAGAATTGTTTATCATGAGTTTAGAGTAGTTACGTTTGATGCAGTGTGAAAATGTCTACAGAATGGTTCGCTATGAGGGAGCATTGACTGGTTTTTCAAGTTAACAGAATGCTATCAGGACTTAAATGCCTCAAATATCAGGCCAAGTTGACCAAAAATCTGTTGCATTCTCCTGAGTTTTCGAGATTGAGGATTGGTTTCATTGGTGTGCTTAAAATGATAATAGACTTTGATTGTGTAGATACAGATAACCTCTTCATTCTGATAGAGGAATCTCACCAAGCGAATACAATTCTCCACCACAGCCCCAGGAGCTGTGCATGCTTGGAGCTCGCAAAGCTGACTTCAGCATCTTTCAATACCATTCATTCAGGCTATCAAGAGATACAGATCCAGTGCTGATAAATGAGAGTTGTAGCGCTGAGTAGCAATGACCTAATTGTTCCCATAATTCACAGCCAAGTAAGCATTTCAATCTATTTGGATATGTTCTTTTCTGTTGGATTAAGGTTTATTATTTGTTTATTTCCTAAACTGAGCATTAGATAGAATAGTGACATACTGAATGTTTGCTTGAACGGCACTTGTAATATGGATTTTCAGAAGGGGATGGCAACTTGAAAACTTAGAATCACAAATACTAAAAAGCATACAATCCTTAGTATGTCAGACATTTTATTTTGGCATTTACCAAAACTACGTGTATTGAAGGTAATAACTTTACCAAATCAGTTCAAATTATTGCCAGGCAGGAATACTTTCTCAGTCCACAACTTTTCTTAACATCTGTAGAAATGTAAAGTTCACTGGTAAATGATTTTGCACAATTGACAATAGAACTGTGGGACTTTTCTAAATTTCACCAGAGTTATGCCTGTAAGTGCACTTCAGCCCTGACACAGGAAAAGTGACAGGCCATTGAACGGCAGATTTGCATGTTTGGCCATGTTATGCATTATGGGGTCCTGCCAATCTCATGCTGTTGAATAAGTGCTGGTGGTGTAATGGTACGGCTACTGGGCTAGTATTCCAAACCCTTGTTCAATGTTCGGGAGCTTGGATTCAAATCGCACTGTGGCAGGTGGGTGAAATTTGTAAATTCACTAGTATTGATGGTCACAGATTTCTGAGTGCTCATACTTAGGAGCGCGATCCCATACAGAGGTATCATTCTATACATCTCATGTATGAACATTTCCTATACTGAAAAATGGCTGCTTTATATTGTCCAAATTAGTACAAATACACTTATGAATTGATTTTGGAATGGAACCTGTTCGCAACCCATGGACTGCCTGTAATATGGAATAAAATTCTGGTTTGATGGAAACCATGTAACCACTTTTGATTGTTGTAAAAAACCCATCCGGTTCATTAATGTTCTTCAGGGAAGAAAATCTGCCATCCTTACCTGGTCTGGCCTTCATGTGACTCCAGAGCCACAGCAATTTTGTTGACTTTTAACTACCCTTCAGGCAGTTAGAGATGGACAATAAATACTGGACTACACAGCCATGTCCACATTCCATGAACAAATTCTAAAAATCTAGTGCAGTGGCCTTCATCAGGCCACATTTTGACATAATGTCTGTTGCCATTTCAACTCAGTTTGATGATTCACTGCTAAAACTGACATCTGCGGTTGAAACAATCCCTGACTTCATTCTTCTTTATTCCACTGAAAGCCGATGAACATTTAAAATATTAACCAGTGGGGATACATCATCTTTTTTGTGAGATTGCAAAGGTGTCTTGATTTTTTTTTCAAGCTGGCTTGATCTGGGCATGTTAACTGACTTGTAAGCCGTGCCAAAAATACATCGTCTCAGTTGCTATACACTTTACTTTTATTCAGTTGAGTTACATAAAGCAGTACAAATAAATTCAAACAAATTTTCATCAACATTAAGATATGCTTGCTTTATCTTAGAATGTTGATTTTTCATTAATGATGTCTGTTTGAATAGCTTGTATTTTGTAGAATAGCCTTAAAATATATTCTTACTCAGCATTTGAAATAGCTGTAGTACATTTCCAAAGTCAACCTCTGATATAAAGTAGCATCTGTAATCATTGTAGGAATGCATTGTTTGCCTGTTGAGGACCATAATTTTATTCTACTAACAGT